GTACGAGCGTGTTGAAACGCGCGCGCGCGCGCGCAGGTTCACGACCCGTTCTCCGTAAAGAGCACATAAAGAAACGCACTGTGGCCATTCAGGCGAAACCAAATTCAACACGTGAGGCTGCTCATCGGTGAAAGAAACGGAATTGCGAAGGAATTGCCGAGCAAGCTGATTGGTCCCGAGTTCTCGGGCGAACCCTCTATGGCCTGATAAGATTTCGAGATAACGTGAGCGAATAGCGATTGAATGAGAAAGGGAGCGAGCGAGAGAGAGAGAGAGAGAGAGAGAGAGAGAGAGAGAGCTGCGAGGGTGAGTCGGATTGAAAAGCCCGCATCCCGATGCGAAACATAGCGATTAGTGTGTTGCGTGGCGAGTAAGAATTTTCTCTCACGCTGCTTCTCAACGATCGGGAAAACGTGTAAGGGAAGCCGTCCGAGGTGAATGGACGACGCGCGTTTAGAGAAAAGAAGTGGCTCTGGCTTGAATTTCAATCGACCTTCTTGTTCTGTTCCATTCATCGGAGCGCGTACGATGACCTTCCCTCCCCTCCCCCCTCTCTCTCTCTCTCTCTCTTTCTTTTTCTCTCGCGCGATCCATTTACAATCCATACTCCTCACAAGCGTGTAACTTGCAGCTGTGTATTATAACGGAGAGTAACATCAAAGTATAATAATAAACAAGAGATATTTGAGCAACGACCGAGGCAAGTTACACCACTGTTAACACTCGGCACTCGGTTCGGATAATATCGAAGACGTAAGGAAGGATCGAAGCGGCCGTCTCTACCGTCCATAGAGGGTTTGCGAGCGTAATAATGATTTTCGCGACGTATCCCACTATCCCATTGCCATCGGGACAATTGCCGGAATAACGGCGACGACGCACACTTCTCCCTCTCCTCGTTGTAACGAGCCATTTTCAAGGGAGTTCGGGACTCGGCTGCAACTTCCCCTTCACCCCGGCGCCGATGAACCTTTCGTCGCTTCGTGTAATCGAGTTGTGCGCTACTCCCCGAGTACGATCTGTCACGTCGGGCACATTTAAATATCTCCAACGATTTTCCGGGGGCAGTAAGTATCGTCATTTCCGCGACGTAAAAGAAGCAATTGTTTCGTCGAACGGCCGGCTAAGCGGCGCAAACATATTACCTCGCGTCGTAACTCGAGGGTCTCGCTCATGAAAGCCTAAATGGCTATCGTTCGCTGAAAGTAAGAGCCAATGAAGAGGAAGAGAAAAAAAAGAAATTACGCGCGACCCCTGTTGTTTCGCGCGTGACCGTCTCTCGGTGCGACAGAAACGGAGAGAGAGAGAGACCCCGTCGTCCGTCTCCTTACACTGTGTGGGTGTCACGCGCGAGGACCGTTTGATGTGAATTCGCAAGAGAACGCTGCATTGGGTATATATATATATATATATTTTTTTTTTTTTCTTTTCGATATAGAGCACTCTTCTCTAAGTGATTTTTTTTCTGAATGCTTTGCACTTGTCTCGCTGTATAGCATAATAACTGAGGTATTCACTGTTATATTAGATCTTATGTGCTAGGATATATATACTGGTATTGTTACATTACATATCGCTGTCTGATCCGATCTGATATGATTTCATGTTGTTCGTGTTTTTTTTTTCTCGATTGCCACAAGTGCCACTTGATCATACACAAGTTCATCGACCGCTCGATGTACGACGAAAGATGAGAGACATTATCTTTCGCGGACGCTTTCAGGGTTTATGGGAAAGTGAAACGACACCTCGCCGCATACACACGCGCACACGTACACACGGACACACGCACGCACGTACGCACGCACGCACGCACGCACGCAGACACACGCATATCATTCAGGATTCATCGTTCGATCGCTGATTTGCCGAGAAAGTGCCACGCACCGCAAAGTGAGATCGATTCAATCGAAGAAATTTGCGACGGTTTACGGCGCGGGCGCTTCTAATTTCCATCCTCCACTTTGACCAAATGGAGCGCGTAAAAAAGACGGACGAAAAAAGTGAACGGGGCAAAAGGATAACCGTCGAGCCCGTCGGTCTGATGGCAATTTGTTCCATCAGTCGCGGAGCTCTCTGTGCGAGGTACATCCGCAAGAACAACTCGATTTCCCGTTCACATATTCCGACTACGCACGACAGACGAATATCCATAATGTCGTTTGCGCGCACCACTTTTCATGTTGTAAAAAAGCGACGATCGCTTTTCAGCCGTAAAAAATGCGAAAATCGCGGACACAGAGACACACAGGTCGTGGTAGTCGTGTGGTACCTCTCCCGAGGGAAGGAAAGGGTCGTCGTTGTTGCACGTGCGGCTTTTTCCCTTTTTTCTTTCTTTATTATAAGTACCCTGAAGTACAAACGGCCGGCATCCGCGTGTTCGCACTGCGAGCGATATTTTAATCAGTAAAGATGGGAAAAAGAAAAAGCGCACGCCGATGGTCGACGCGCGAGAACGTAACAAAGGCGTAAAGTGCTCGGAGAAGGTGGTGAGCCGTGAATTCTCGTTTGGCGGCATGTTCCTCAATTTTTCAGAAACCATTCGCCGAACGTTAGCGCGTGCGAATCGCGAATATGGGCATCTCGGCCGAGTCGCTAAAAAAACTTAATGACGAAACGAAATCCACGTAGCGGACGAGTTAGCGGGAGCGGAAATCGGAGAGGGAAAACGAAAACACGAAAAGCGAGAGCACGAGCGCACGCACTTGCACGCGTATACGCGCGTGTGTGTGTGTGTGTGTGTGTGTGTGTGTGTGTATGTGTGTGTGTGTGAACGAGGGCCGCTCGTGCGCTTAAAAAGCGACAGAATCTAATACCACGACCCACGAGAAAACGAGCGAAGGGAGCCGCTGACGGAACGGAACGCCGTTTTTACGCGGTTTGAGCGAACAAAAAAAAAGCACATACATATATATATATATATAAAACCAAAATAGGGGAAACAAAAAAACACCGTGGCGGAACTGCACCGCACCGCACTGCACACGCGGGGGAGGATAGGCCGACGAGAAATTGGCTGCTGGTAGGTTGCGAGAAAGAAAAAAAGAGCGAAAAAAATAAAAAGAGACGAGAAAGAGAACGAAAGTGCCGGATCGAGAAAAGAGGAACAAAGAGACGCAGGAGAGGAAAGCGAAAAGTATCGAAAAGTACATATGCGGAAGCACTTCCCTCTTACACCCCTCTCTGAAATAGGAAACAGGGTACAGGACTTCGGCGGCGGAGAGGAAAGGTGAGCTCCAGCCGTTGCCGCCGGGAACACGAGACACACCGTGAGCGAAATTGCATGCGTTTCTCTCTCTTTCTCTCTCTCTCTCTCTTTTTTATATAGTCATATTCGGTATAACGCTGATGAATAACGTGCAAATTGCTGGTAGAAATTGCCCGAGGCATTTCTGACACTTGATCTGACACGATCCTGGGTAGGTCCTCGGTGTGTGTATATCGCTTTTGCATGGCTCTCACCCTTATTCTCCCGTTCCCACCCCCCGCCCCTCTGCCCCCGCTAACCCCCTGGCTGCCTGTGTGTGCGCAGTGTGTCGAGGCATTTTTTAAAACGACAGATCTCGCCGTCGTCAATGTTCCCCGCCGTTCTTCATTCTGTTTGCCGTTGCTTGTGCTCGCGAGTGATATATGATCGCTTGTTCGCTCGAGGAGAGGAGCGTTCCTGGACCGGGCGTCTCCGGTAACTAAGCGACAGCCGCGACGAGGATCTCGAGGTCGAGATCCGGTCGAAGAACGCTTCCTCTCTCGTCGCTCTAGGACCCCGACACAACTCCAATCTTCTGTTCTTCTACATTTCGACATATATACATGATCGCGTCACGGATCGCGACGCCGCGCGTACGTCACAGCAGGTGCGATTCGATCCGTGACGAGTTCGCTTGTCGTCGACTTACGCATTGTGGCTTCAAGGAAGATCGGGACCGGCGGATGTGGAGAATGAACAGTCACGGGAACGATTATCTACCGATCTCGTTGGTTGGTCCTCGGCTTGGATTCGAATCGCGTGCTGCCTCCTCTTACGATATGAAAGGAGGATCGAAGGATTGAGATCGAAAGATTGATTTAGACCAAATTCCATCGGCTTGCCCGACGTGCTGTGACTCGGTGATGTTTCAGAACGTTCAACGAGCACACACGACGTGTCTCGGCGCATTCTGCCTGAGAGTATCTTTCCGTCACGATATGAAATCCACATCCGACGATCGACGATCTTTCTTCTCACGGTAAGGATGACCGAAGGTACCAATCTGCCGTTGCACGTCCCAGAGTGGCGATGATACATTATAGCTAGAAGGAACATTCTCTCTATGCTGTGCGAAACGTTGGAATAATCGCTTTTTACATAGGCGCAAGATTTCTTTGCCATCTCCTTGTGTTTGTTCTCTTCGTTTCTTTCTTTTCTTCTGTTTTCTTTTTATTTTTATGTTTTACTCGAAAATTACGCGACAAACGAATTGCTTTTATTCGCGCGCATATATACTCGTTTATATACATATATAATATATACTCTCTCGTCTGATATAATTTGCGTGTCGACTTTCTTTGCGCATTTATTAGGCTTATTTCCCGTTGTATTAAGATATTATCGCGACCAGCCGGAATTCGTTTTTCGGTACTTTGAGATTGATAATGAAATCGTAATTATCGCGGTATCTTGGTTAAATGCAAAGCTCTGCTATTTGCATAAAGCCATTCTCTCTTCGTTCGCTACGGAGGCCAGAACGTTGCTGTGTGTGTGTGTGTGTGTGTGTGTGTGTGTGTGTGTATAAGCGCTATCCGATACGGAATACTGCGACGATCTAGACTTCCGTTGCTTTTCATTACGTTTCGCACGTTGGTTCTACCTTTATTTTACTTTGGAACTTTATAATTGGGGAGGACTACTATCGTTCTCGGGCTGTTGAGAGGAAAGGAAGAACAATTCGCTATATATATGTACACGCTCGGCCGTCACGCGCGACGCTGTGTTTAACAGAAATTTTTCTTCTGCCCACCAGGAATACTCTGTACAATTAACATTTCGGGAACAATGGTTGGATGAGAGATTACGATTTAATGACTTCGGAGGTACGTAGATAATCACAGCATTACGACTTGGACTCTTGCGTTCTCGATACGCGTCGCGACGATCACCGCGACGCAACGAGTGCGTTGCTCCGACATTACCTATGAGATGTAACCGTGACATTTTCCCGCCGACGTACAAGATATTCTCCCGTCGCGAATTTGAGTTCGGCTCGAGAGAGAGGGAGAAGCGTATTTCTCTTTTTTTTTATTCCCCGATATAGATAAATGCTAAAGTATTTTTACGCGATGATTACATATAATTCGATACGCGTCTATACGCGGTACGCGCGCGAGAAATTTTCACGCACAAAGGGGACATTTATGTTCAGGACAATGAGCGTGAACAATCGTTTATGCTGCTCTCTCTTTTTTTTCATATTGCTGTAATTACGCCGTAAAAGGCGAGTCGTAACGTTTTATTCGCGTGCTAGTCGTTACGCAAATTCGCCACTATAGCTATACTTATCCTCTCTCTCTCTCTCTCTCTCTCTCTCTCTCTCTCTCTCTCTCTCTCTCTCTCTCTCTCTCTCTCTCTCTTTCTCTTTCTCTCTCTCTCTCCCCTTTCTCTCTCTCTCTCTCTCTCTCTCTCCCTCTTTCTCTTTCTCTTCGGGCACGCCCGCCTAATTTTCGCTCGCTCGCTCGCTCGCTCGCTCGCTCGCTCGCTCGCATGCTCTTCCTGCGCGCTAAATGAGCTCGACCGACCGACCGACCGACCGACCGACCGACCGACCGACCGATCGATCGATCGCCAATTGCCGACGTCACGGCGATTTTTCAAGCGAGGCCGCCTCGTTCCCCTTGACGTTTTGCAGGTCGACTTAAATACTTGACTCTGACGGAAGCTAATCGCGTCTGGATGCCGGATCTGTTCTTTGCGAACGAGAAGGAGGGTCATTTCCACAACATCATTATGCCCAACGTATACATACGAATCTTTCCAGACGGCTTCGTTCTTTATAGCATACGGTGAGTGCAAGTCCGCGAGATCGAAACGAGTCAACTTACTCGCGCGCCTTCATCTACTCAGTCGAGAGGACAGTGCTTTATTTTTTATTCTCCCTTCTTGTTCCTTTTCTCTTCATCTCGCAAACTCCACGAAGACGCGAAGGGGCCACTTATTCGTCCGACATGAAAATCGCGTCTCGACGCGGGCGCGAGAATGCATTATCCATCCGCGCGGCGCGGTTCATCCTCATATAATCGAATGTTGCGAAATTTGCTCGGCTAATGTACACACACGGGAGAGAGAAAGAGAGAGAGAAAGAGAGAGAGGGAGAGAGAGGGAGAGAGAGAGAGAGAGGAAGAGAGAGGGAGAGAGAGGGAGAGAGAAAGAGAGAGAGAGGAAGAGATCTCCCTCTCCCCCTCTCTCACTGTATACCGTGTGTGATGACCAAACAGGGGCGCGCGTTCGTTATTGCAAATTGGGTTTTTTCGTCCGCGCCAGCCTTGTATAAACTCTCGTTGTATTTCTCTCGCCGCAGAATATCCTTGACGCTGTCCTGCCCCATGAATTTGAAGCTGTATCCCTTGGATCGACAAATTTGCTCACTTCGCATGGCCAGCTGTAAGTAATTTCGCGAGCCGGGTTTGTCTAATTTCGCTCGAAGGGCGCATTTATACTCCGGTCCCGCGCTTCTGAGTAATCATTCGCATTCGTGATCCGACAGACGGATGGACGACGGCCGACTTGGTGTTTCTCTGGAAGGAGGGTGATCCCGTTCAAGTGGTGAAGAATTTACATCTACCCAGGTTTACCTTGGAGAAGTTTCTTACGGACTACTGCAATAGTAAAACCAACACCGGTAAGTAACTTGCGCCCTGTGTGCGCGTATTCGGCAGAACGAGCGACGGAAGAGATGGCGAGAGAGAGAGAGAGAGAGAGAGAGAGAGAGAGAAGAGAGAGAGAGAGAGAGAGAGAGAGCGAGTCGCCTTCCTTCCTCGACGGGCTCGCGACCTCGCCCCTGTGACTGATGTCTTTTTCCTTCTTTCGTTTGAATAAACAATGCAGGAGAGTACAGCTGCTTGAAGGTGGACTTGCTGTTCAAGAGGGAATTCAGTTACTATCTGATCCAAATCTACATACCGTGCTGCATGCTCGTTATCGTGTCCTGGGTGTCCTTCTGGCTGGATCAGAGCGCCGTACCTGCTCGAGTGTCACTAGGTATGAATAATCATCAACAAATTGTCAGCGGATTATCGCGTTATCGTATGTATGTATCCGCTGTATGTATACCGCTGACGGCATCGATCGAAGGTCGGACGCATTCGCGAGCACCAGGCCGGCCAAGACGTACGTTTCGATCACGTCCGCTTTTGCACGGACGCGTTCATCTATTCTGCCTGCGTCCTCCTGAACGTCACGGCGAACCGTTCCATCTATCTTTCTGGTGTCCCATCTTCTCCCCTCCTCTCTCTCTCTCTCTCTCCTCTCCTCTCCTCTCCTCTCCTCTCCTCTTCTCTCCTCTCCTCTCTCACTCCACTTTTCTTTCTCCTTCTTTTTGTCGACCGCTGTGCTGGCATTTACTTGTCACGAGAACGGCCCGAAGAAGATTCGTCTTCTGCTTTGCTCGTGCAGGCGTTACGACACTGCTGACGATGGCCACGCAGACATCAGGGATAAACGCCTCACTGCCACCGGTATCCTACACGAAGGCTATCGACGTTTGGACGGGGGTGTGCTTGACCTTCGTGTTCGGCGCTCTCCTTGAATTCGCGCTAGTCAACTACGCGTCGCGCAGCGACATGCACAGCGACAACATAAAGAAGCAGTTTCCGGCGAGCGAGATGGAGCATTCGTCGTCGATCGATCCATCCTCGGAGCTGCTCGAGCCAGACGGATCCGCCAGCTTCGCCATGGTCAGTATCCCGAGACGACGTTCCCCGAGCGCCGTTGGACGCGCTCGAAATGGTTTCGAGATAGCCGAGCTTTTCCGGCTGCTCTCCTCGTCTCGGTCGATAGCGCGACTGCGTCCGCGTCATTGCGTTCCCCGTTAAGCTCGTGCCGATCTCTCGTTGCTTCTCTCGTGGTCGTTACGTATGGTACAGCCGACGACAGTCACGCGTCGCTGCTCCCTCGTCACGAGGGGCACCTGCATTTTCGCGCGAGTAGATTTTAATTACAAGTACACACACACACACACGCACGTACGTACGCGCGCACGCACACACTCTGTGTCTCGTTTTTGTCGAAAATTGGCCGTTTGAACGACGAAGAGACGGAAGAGACGGAACTCTCTGTAGCTTCTTATTCGACAAAAGGGGGATTGATGGGACGATGCGATTGGGAATTACTTCGATTAAGGACAACAGAGCCAAGTGCGAATAACTAATGGATCAATACCGCCCGAATTCTTTCAGAAGCCTCTGGTTCGACACCCGGAGGATTCCATGTCGATGGAAAAATTGCGGCAGTGCGAAATACATATGCAACCAAGGAAAAAAAACTGCTGCAGGTCGTGGCTGTCCAAGTTCCCGACGAGGTCCAAGCGCATCGACGTCATCTCACGGATCTTCTTCCCAATCGTATTCGCTTTCTTCAACCTCACGTACTGGTCCACGTACCTGTTTCGGGAGGAAGAGGGAGGCGAGTAAGCCACGAGGAGGAGGCGCTCGGATCAAGGGAAGTGGCTCGCGGCCATCCTCAACAGTTTCAAACACGACCGCAACGTTCGCGTCCCCGTCATCGACAGTATCATCAGAATCATCATCGTCATCCCCAGAATCATCATCATCACAACCATCATCATCATCACCATCATCATCATCAACAGCAGCAGCAGCAGCAGCAGCAGCAGCAGCAGCTATCGCAGCAGCAGCAGCAGCAGCAGCAGCAGCAGCAGCAGCAGCGTCATCGTCCGGGCAATCAGTTGCCGCATATCTACCAGCAGGACCACCATCATCATCATCATCAGCAGCAGCAGCAGCATCAGCAGTTACCGCAGCAGCAACATCAACATCAGCAACACCGTCACCAACGTTATCAAGCGGATCGCTCGCCGTCGCCGTCTTTCTCGCCGTTGAACGACGACGACTGCGTCACCGTCCGATGCTCACCGAGAGCGCCGCGACACTCACGAAGAAGCTCGGCGAGATCGTCACCATCGCCGTCGCGATGGCCGTCGCCGGCGTCGTCGGTGTCGCCTTTGAGAACACCGTCGCGTACCGCGTCCCGTGGCGCGACACCCTCACCGCCGATCGCGGCGCCGATATCATCCACGGCTATGTCGCCCGCGCCAACGGTATCCGCGAGCAGACGCTGCTGGAACCTGCCGTGTAGACTGTTCACCTGTCGTGCCCAGGGCAGCGCAAGGATCGACATCTTTGCGCGCATCGCCTTTCCCCTCATGTTCATTCTCTTCAACTTCGCGTACTGGTCTGTTTATCTGTTTCGAGGCGAAGACAGCGGGACGAAAAACAAATGAGAGCGGAGAGAGTAAGCGCGAAGGAATCAGAAGAATCAGCCGAGTGCGACCGAGTTGGATCCTTGAAGAAACGACCAGGGCGACCTTTGCGCGATCTCGCGCAAACGAGAGGAAGAGAGAAAGAGACGTTCTCTCTTTGCATTCGATCTTGACACGAGAATCATCAACGAGACTGCAGACAGAGTAGCGTAGTTCGCTCGAACAAGGACCGACCAAGTGCACTTCGATGAGAAGAGAAGATCCCTTCGCAGCCCGCAGTCCGCGAAACGGGGACATTCCAGGACGAGAAGATCGAAATTCACGACGCGCAACGAGGACGTCAGCTCGATAGATGTTTCCCGAAAATGAGGATGATGACGGCGAAACGCAACGTTCTAGCGACGTGTATTATACGTATGACACGCACACGCGCGACAATCGCGCGAATCCATACACGCACACACGCACACACGCACACACACACAACACACATACACAGGCAGACAAATGAGCAAAAGCAGACACCACATCGTACCTCATGACTCATTTGGAAGACCGCGTGCCACAGACTGAATTGAAAGCGTAGTGGGCCCTGTATAGCCACGGCCTGTTAACAATTAAAAAAAAAAAGTAAAAAGTTTATAAGTAACTAATACCTACGTTTCGCGAGAGCTGCGCGTCGTCGACGAGCGAGCGAGCTCATCGACGCGCGCGAGCGACGCTCACACGCGAGTGTCGCGACGACGGCCCGGACGACACGTTCGTCGTTGCGAAATTAAAACGGCGAACGGTCTCGGCTCCGATTAAGTATTAATTAACCGTAAGACCGCGGGCGGGACGGGCCGCGGTGGGGCGAGGCGACGTGCGATACGTGCGGTGGTGTGTGTTTATACAGGGTGTCTCTCAGGGTGTGTGTCGTCTGACGAAGAACGCACGAAACGATCGCGGTGCGCATTGCCTCGCCGTGCCACGTATCGCCTTTCTCCTCTTAAGGTCACATATACACACGTACACGCATACGCACGTACACTGGAAACCAAAACGGTTTCGAGTTTTTTTTTTTTCTTTTTTCTAGTGACATGAGTAATCCGTGTAGTTGTGAATTTGAGGATCACTGCTTAACCAAACTGCGCAAAACAAAAGATCGCAGGTCTCTCTTTCTCTCTCTCTCTCTCTCTCTCTCTCTCTCTCTCTCTCTCTCTCTCTCTCTCTCTCTCTCTCTATCTCTCTCTCTCTCTCTCCCTCTTGTGCAAGTTGTGATTCTCAAATTCACAATTATACGGGTTACTTATGTCACTAGGGAAAAAACTGTCGAGACCGTTTTGCTCTCCAGTGTACACGCGCGGGAGGAGTTTGGCTGGAATGTTTGACGACGGAAAACATTCGGGGGGAAAGGGGCATACGTGTACACATGTACATCGGGTGTCAAACATTCTGCTACCCTGCCGGGTGTACGATGCCTCGCTGGTATGAACCGGCGAGTTTCCAGCTCAGTGGTACCAAGGACAAGACGGAGAATCCTCGGAGCCTCCCGAGGTGCATGTTTCGGTTCATTGTATTTTTCTATTTCTCTCATCCCATTATAATTTGTCAAAGAGGAAACAAGCGGAAAGAAACTCGAAGAAAGGAGAACAGGCAGACGTCGCGAGAAACTTGTGAAGCCGCGTGTGAAGAAACCGAGAGAGGGAACGTTTGTGCTATTCGACACCACGCTTACGTGCAATGGACCTCGGGAGCCTTCTCACCGTTGATCGTCGTAGACGCTTCTGCAAGACAAGATGAAGCGTCTTGGTGTCGCTAGGGCTGATCCTTATCCGGGCGACTCTGCTTCCTCCCGAGGAACATCTCGAGGACGTCTCGAGGAAGCGACGCGCGCGCGTCGCTTGGACTATCGGTTCGACACGAGTCGCCGGCGGACGAGCAGTCGAGATATTTTAGCCGCCTTCTTTTCGTCTGTCATCTCTCACGGGGACCTGCGACGCCCGGATAAGGCTTGACAAACCGCCAAGCGGAGGGCGCGAGCTGACGACGACCGAAAGAGCTTTCGCGATACCAAGTATCGGCGAAGCGGTCGCGTGGCGGCTCGCGGCTTTCGCGACTTCCTGTTTTTCCGCTGTCCCGGCCCCGGGTCGACCCGGCCGACGATGATCGCAGCCGGCGACGCGGCTCGGGGCTCTCTCACGTATTGCTCAGGAGCGATCGACGACGCCGCCTGCGGAGGATCTTGCTTATCCGTCGACGCGACGACGCGGCGGCGATAGGTCGGCGATCAATTAGTCGATCTCGAGCGGTGGTCCCGTCGGCGCGGAGCTGCGGTGTTGTCGACCTCGCGGACGGAACGAACAGATGACGAAGAAGAAGACACGTGGATATATGCTCACAACACAAAAGCGGTGCGGACGATAGTTGTATTTTTTTGGAAATACCACACGGGAGAGGGAAGCACCCAATTCGACACAGCACGATTGCACACAATCAACCGATGCAGCAATGTATTATCTGGTGAATTACTAGATGCAACCAATTATTTACATAGTGTCCAATCGTGCTGTGTCGAATAGATACGCACCCCACGGAAGACGCTACCCCCTTCCCGCCTGCCCCCCGCCTGCTCACCAACTACTCAAGCGGGAGACGACAGAGCCGCGAACGGCGTTCATCGATCAAGGCGAGGCTCAACGGGAGCAATCCCTTTTGTGTACTCGGCGCTTACGACGAGCGGAATGGAGGGAGCTGCCTCTCTCTCTCTCTCTCTCTCTCTCTCTCTCGAGAGAGAGAGAGAGAGAGAGAGAGAGAGAGAGGGATATCGCGTCTCACTTTCCACACGTACGATCTTTGAACCTAGAAGGTTGTCTGAGTTTGAGAGAAAACGATTGTCAGTCCTGACGAAGATTCGCCTCGACTCGGTCCGTTCGCGACTCGTTCCTCCTCCGCTTCGTCGTATCTTCCTCTTACCTCGTGCAACCGGACACTACGCGCGCGCGTACGAAGAAGCAAGGATCTCGCGGATCCGATGATCCGCCCGCGACAGCGGTAGTCTCGCGCCTCCGCGCGTCTGAGACACGCGTTACACCTGGGATCAGAAGTGTAAATCGATTTTCTTCTACGGTCGCGCTCGGCGATGAGAGAAGGTGCGACGCGTCTCGCGGGCTCCGCGAGATCACGCGAGCGGAACGGAACGACGGAAGTTCGCTCTCGCACACGAAAGCACGGTAATATCGTCAATCAATGTGCTGATACAAATGTCATTCACAGTGACTGCGTGTGTGTGTATTCTTTTTTTCTTTTTACCGACAACAAATCGCCGCACTCTTTTCGGAAATCTTATCGTGTTATCGGGATTTTTAAGAGATACAAACTGCTAGTACGGTTAACGTTTGTATTTTACGTCGCGCAGCTCAAGTGAGATGATCCGAAGTTCGCGTTTAGACGGATCCGCCCCGATCGCCGCGGGGACGAAGCAATCGCGAGTAATCGCGAGCGAGAATGTACCTTTTGTTCGGCCGACCCCGGCGATACTTGCACGTAGCACGATCGCACACCCCACGAAGACTTCTCTCTATTCCCGCGCTTAGTTCCTTCCGAATGAAACCCGATCAGCTTCCCGCCGAATGTAGCGATAGCACCTCGTCGTGTGTCTTGTCACGATCGAATGGTCACTTCTCCGGGGAACAACAGAAAGAAGCTCATAAGCGGACACATCTGGCGTAACGTACGAAATCGAGCCAAATCGACGATTATTGACTTTCAAAATGACTTGAACCCTGATCTCTAGGACGCAATTGATAATTGCCACCCACCACAGTGAGGGAACTCGTTTCTGAAAAATCTCTCGAGTACTCTCAATTGGACGTTTGAGTTGGGCGTCCGAGAAGGTGTTCTTGAAAACCAGTGCACACCGTAATCTCTCGACACGCTCGACTCGTCGTCGAGCTCTCCGCGTTACTCTTTCGCTTCGCGACGTCGATTATGAGAGGATCGACGTGATCGCGAATCCGTGCACCAGTCGGCAGCGAAAAGACGCGGGCGCGAAAATGTACGTCTCGACGTGTCTCAGGACAGATGAATAGGCTCTCGATGAATCGAGAACGTGTGCGAGTTCCAGCAGCGAGTTCGGCTACTTGTGCGTCTACGATCATCTGAGATATCTGAACCGTCGTCGTCTCGCGTGCGTGATCCTAGTGCAACGGAGCGTGCGACATGTCACCAGTGCAGTCGCGTTAGCGATAAATCCGAAAGCGCCCGCTGATTTTTACTTCTCGCTCGTGCAGTCTTGTTCGAGCAATCAGAGACTCAGAGTTGGGAAGCGACGCTTCATCTGTGACGACGCAATTTCACCGTTGAAAAGTCACTTGTTTCTCACGACAACTCGCTAACGGCGTTACGCCGTTTATCCTTCCCGCCAACGACGAGTTACTTTCTTCGAGTTGCTGCTAATGAGTCGCTTTTAAAACGTAACTCCCCAACTCTGACCAAACCGGTGCTCACACAGACACTACGCGGACTGACGGAGCTTTCGTTCTCTCTCTCTCTCTCGCGCGCGCGCGCGCGCGCGCGCCTTTCAAACTCCGCTCCGTCCGTCCGCGCAGTGTCTATGCTTTGAATATGGCGCGTCGTAGACTCGCTTGCGCTTGCGAAAACAGCGCAACGCCACGAGACACCGACTTCCGCGTGAGCCGGCGTGAGCGAGGAACACTCTGTATATTTAGGAGCGACTCTGCGCGTGGCTGCGCGCAGAGAGACTCGAAGGGACGTGAAGCCAGTATTTGCGAAACGATTACGCGTATCGGCGATGGATCTATCCTTCGTGATGCCTCGTCGCGCGCATGTCGGGTGTACATACGTTATAATAAACTACGAGAGGCGGCGGGTGCGCTTCAACATGCGGTTATTGAGCCGTGCGTACACTCCGCACTGTCCCCGCGTACCCGGCGGAGTTCCGTTGTAACTGGAATCCCATCGACGTCCTCGGCACGCACGAACGCAGCGGTCCGGATTAGCCGACTCGACGACGGACGCGAGGATTGCCCCAGCTGCCGCGGTTGCGGGACGATTCGCGCTCGAGCCGACTCGGCAGAGTCGCGTCATCGGCGGATGACGCGGCGGAGAGAAGAGCCGCTTCCTATTCGTTTTGGATGCGCGAGTAGCCGCGGCAACCGGACGCGATCGAGAGATTATGTCGTTTTCGAGCATAATTCTTCGCATTCGCCACCCGCTTCCCCGAGCTATCCCTTCGCCGAGGAAAGTGTATCCCTCTCGTGACGCACGAGGGATCGGAGATGACCACGTACCGAGCGCTTTTTATTTTTTGGCGACTGAGCAACGTGACTGCTTCCAACGTTTCATCTCGTCCACCCCACCGTCGGCTCGTTCCCACCTCCGGAAGTTGGCCGCTCTTCGGTCTTCGAGACGGGGCTTCCGTTTATTACAGCGGACGCGCGCAAACGACCGACTGAGTTAATTAAGATTCTCATCAGATTTGCTGCACGCGCGCGCAGTCACGCAACACACACGTCGCCGACGCGTACCTCCCTCGAGACAGATTCCAGAAAAGAGAAAGAGAGATCGTACATTGTGAGACAAAACTCCTAGAGCTCTGTTCTTCCGGATTGCCTCCGGATTTTTCGGAGAGGGGAACGTCGCGATAACGTGAAGCACGTGGAGAGAAGACGCGGGTAATCGAACGGATCTATCGCAAGATCATCCAGAACAGAGAGAGAGAGAGAGAGAGAGAGAGAGAGAGAGAGAGAGAGAGAGAGAGAGAGAGAGAGAGAGAGAGAGAGAGAGAGAGAGAGCGAGAGAGAGAGAGAGAGAGAGAGAGAGAGAGAGAGAGAGAGAGAGAGAGAGAGAGAGAGAGAGAGGGAGCTGCGTAACGGTGACTGGAAATTATGAAAAATCGTGTAAGTTTCACTGTCACACTCGTCACTCGCGTCTGGAGACTTCAGTCCAGGCGAGATCCGTGCTACACCGAAAGAAACAAGTGGATACATACATAGCGTCTCACACGTGCATACACACGCCCACACACAGAGACACACGTACACGCATATACACGAGTATATGATCCTCGCACGACATAAAGTACGATCCCGTTGTATCGCGGATATTATAAGCGCGTCATAGCTCTCTCCCACGTCCGAGACACACCTAAAGGGTTTAATGTTATTGTTATATGCGTACGTTGTAATATATGTGGACGAAGCATGCTCAGCCCTGTAACAAAATAAATCCCTCCTTTATCCTTCGAATTCATGCGAGCAGCTTGTTACACACACACATACACGCACGCACGCACACACACACACACACACACACACACACGCACACACACACACACACCGCACGCACGCACGCACACACGCAAACAATACATAGAAATGTGCCGCGCGGTTTCTCGCACCGAGGAGAATCCCGCGTCACACGTACATCCCGACGCACGTCACACCGCAAAGACACACAGCCCCGACGACAAGAATCGCACTTCAACGTTAACATACGACTAGGACTACATCGGTAGCTATCGTTTTCTTACTATCCACCGCGACGGACTTGGGCGAGCGAGTGCCGCCGCCTCGGCCGGAAGCGCTGGCGCACCTTTCACGAGCTCTCTCGGGGCTTTCGCGTGAATTGAGAGACATAGAGAATTCCAACACGCCGAATCACACGAGTAGAAGTTGGAGCGACGCTAAAGCGATCGCCGATGAAGGGAGCATCGCCGGATCTTTCGACTTGTCATTTCGAGGTGCCCCGACGCTCCCTCGCGACCGAAGCCACGGATCTCCTCGCCGCGATCGTCGATCCACCGTCTCGATTAATCCCCATAAAAAACCGCTATTCGTCCTGGATAAGTAACGACGAGCGGGTATTAAACGTTGTCCATAATAATCGTAAGGATTGTATCCTCCTGGCGAAAGCGGCGGAACAATCGACTCGAGCGGCGAAAACACGAAAAAATGAAAAAAAAAAGAAGATATTGCATGCTTGTGATTCGAGTGCATTTCAAGATGTGTAACATAATAAATTTATATCGTGGCACATAGTCCGATAAATTACGAATCTTCCCGCGTGAACTTATTAGATCGTCAATTATACCAGTGTACACCTTAACGAGATCAAGTAATAATCATTCCTGTCGAGAGAATAACAAGAGAGAGAGAGAGAGAGAGGAGGGAGGGAGAGAGAGAGAGAGAGAGAGAGAGAGAGAGAAAGGAAGAGTGCGCGCGAGCGCATTTCCAACGTCGTTCGCGTTCGACGAAGCAGAGAATCTAAACACTGTACGAACGAACGAACGAACGAACGAACGAACGAACGAACGAACGAACGAACGAACGAACGAACGAACGAACGAACGAACGAACGAACAAACGAACGAACGAACGAACGAACAAACAAACAAACAAACGAACGAACGAACGAGAACGACGTACAGAGACATCAGGCTTAAGAAGACAAACGCAGAAAAACGGTATTCTAAAATTACCATAAGATCTTTAAGTACCACACTGTAATTAAGATAACAATTAAATTAAACGCAGAACGGACGAAACGATATTGTGCGTCAGTCACTCTCTGATTGTGTTGCTCTTTCCCACAGAAACGACCACTAACGAATCACACGACGACGATCGTTCCAATACAGTTCAGCGTCAGGCTCCTGTTTCGTAATTGGATTTCTATCGTTTCGTTAAACGAGTAACGCATGTTCGTCCCATCACTACGTGATACTCGTTTAAAGAAAGTATATCACAAGCGTCGCAGGTAAGTGACACAATGTAGAAGATAGGTGTGTGTATGTGTGTAGAGTTTATGGGAAACTCGACGTACGTGTATCGCGCATACGAGACATTGAAGTACCGAAATAATTTAGACATCACGAATTTATTTGTCACGTCCGAGAAATACTGTACATTGAATTTTATTTGTTGCAAGTCGCCTAAATACACTGGGATGTATTACAAATAAGCGCTAAACGCCTATAATTTATTACGATCTACGAGTACAGTCGATTTCGCTCGCGAATAACGCTACACACATTTCTGGAAGTTTACATCTCATAAGGATTTCATATACGCTTGCTTGCACCGCGACACCGTCTCTTTCCCTTTACTGCTAAATAGTGTGAGAAGAGTGTGAGAAGAGTTATAAAAACATAGAAATGGTAGTCCGTATTGCAATTGTATATCTTATATTGTCTAATCTAAATCGGTGTACCGTGAATATGCGCGCAAGGGGGAGAAATTAAACATGGAGAACTGGAGGGGAAGGCAGACGCGAAGGAAGTAAATGATTAGGTAAGCATACACTATTGCGCTGTAAGTCATACATTGTCACCGTTTCCGTGAATGATAAGTCACGACTGTCAATGTCAAGTTAAATTCGTCCAAGTACATTTTAGCGTTCTTACAAATACTTCTGTGTCGTGAGAAGTAAATTCACCTAAATCCGATTGAATATGCTTTATACGCACTGGTGCATACCGAAACGTAGCGCGTGAATGACCGGCCTTAGTAAGTACGCTGCGAGTTTGCGAACCCTTCAAAGAACGTTCAAAGAGCGTAAAATGTTGCGCGGATAAAAAATTTTTTCTCAGCATGAAAGTAATTTTAGGTGTCTAAATCAGCACAAGTTGTGATCACATCAGAATCGGAGTCAGAGAGTTGCGACGGAAGATACATCAGAGATCTTCTCCTCGGGATGTATTCCGGTTAAAAAATCACTTTACATCTCGTAGGCTCTAGTAAATCAACTTTTGTTGTATCTATGTATATTATGAGTGAGCGCGCGCATAATAGGCATCAACTCGCACCAGCGCGCATTATTTTATCATTAGATAATGACAGTTACCTTACACTGAAGCTGAAACCCTGAAGTAAGAGACCTGCGCAAATCGTCGGTTACACCATGGGACAGACCTAAATAGCCGATCGCAAACAGTGAATGTATAATTCAAGACAATGATCTCGAATCGTCGTGCACCGTTCTCGTCTGCCGCGCGTTGCGTGTGAAAAAGAAGAAAAAATCACTTTGCCATTGTCCTTATCCGCCGCTGGAAGATCATCTCTCGCTACTCCAGTAGCTCTTGCCGATAACCTCTAAGAAAACGGGGGAGAGTCTCTCGTTAGTGTCAAATTTCTCGTGTGGAATTAATGGTCTTTCGCTCAGCATGGCTACGATCTACCGACCTGTACGATTGATTGGGCTCCGACTTCGCGTATAACTACGACTGTAACTCCTCCGGCTACCGCGACCGTTACGTTCTCTACTGTGGCTTCGGCTTCGGCTTCTCGAGTAGCTACGCTCCTTTCCATTGCGGCCGCCTCGCGATCGCCACCGGTTCCTGCCACCTATCGATACAACAAGCCGCTCGTGAGTGGATTTTTATTTGTAAATCGAGCCGAGTTGCACGCTCGTATTATTATATGCCGACCTGTTTGAGTGTAAGTTCAATCAGTTTCAATTGCTTTTAAGGCCGTGCCGAAAACAGATTGGCCGGACGTGATCAAGCGTTTGCTTCTAAGAAGACAATCAAGTACCTCTGTGTCTACCATATCCACCGGCTTTACCGTCTGCGAGCTCCAATAGCTTCGGATTGATCACCTGATTCGCCTCTTTCAACACTTGTATCAGGTCGTTAGCCTTGTTGGAGTTATTGGGAGTAAAGAAAGTGTAGGCTGTGCCGGTCTTCTGTCTGCGGCCGGTACGACCGATACGATGGACATAATCTTCGGAACAGGAGGGGTAGTCAAAATTGATGACAAACTTGACGTCTTCAACGTCTGAAATTAAGAGCTGGCATTAGCCGATCCGTGGGATCTTCTTGGGGGATCAGCGTGTTGAGGACAGACATCGGTTAAAAGACAGTAGTAGTGTCGCGAGGATTTGTGAAACACCGCGTCGAGCAGATTGTTGGATGTTTAAACGAGATACATTTTTCACAGTAAATCATAAATTTCGATACGCTCTCCAAGAAGTCACGCGAATAACTCGAGCCAGTATGCGTTGCCCCTTGTATTTTTTTTTCTGTATGATCATCGCACAGCGGCATGGCAGATTATTAATCGTTCTTAGAGATAAACAATGTGTAAACAATGTGTAAAGTTTCACTGAAAAACAAAAAAAAAAAAGAATCGCGATTTCTCTGTCCCTTCCTCTCTCTCTCTCTCTCTCTCTCTCTTTCTGTCTCTCTTTCTCTCTGTCTCTCCTTCTGCCTCATTAATAGCTTGTAATTTACAAGTGAAAATTGTCGCGCAATCTAATTTATATTGCATCGCATATTTATAATGCTTTGTGTTAGATTCTTTAGAGAGCGTTTGGAGTGTGAAATTACACGAGATCATGAAATAAAAACAAACCGTGGCGCCGACACCGATCCTGGCTTTCCTTTCGTAAATATCGCGGCACGGACTACTCGTTCTCACGAATACAACACAACGTGCGAGGCAAACGTCGCACTCTCGAAGTCTTCTCTCGCGCTATTCACGCAGCGATGTGAACAGCGAGGCGACCGATATCTAGAAAAGAGACCAGGATCGCGTGGTGTAACAGGATTACATGATAATACAGTAGTTAGTAGTATGATGAGATGCGTCTGATATACGGTGTAGTTATCACGGGAATTGAAGGATAGAGGATTCAGAAGAGATGCGTACAGTTTAAGAGGGACATACGCATGAGAGTGTTACGCGTTCATACACGTATATATATAACATATACATATATATAGAGACGAACGGCCAATGTAACAGAGACATTATCCATCACCTGTAAATTAACGATCATACAGAGCAGAGGAACGCATGTATACATACATGTACTTATATATACGCGTACAGGAACTCATGTGCGTGCTTGTGTGTACGTGTATGTGGTGTGGTATGTGTGTGTGTGTGTGTGTGTGTGTGTGTTACATGTATATGAGTGTCGATATATGTATGTCGATTAATTAAACTCGAACTATATAATACTAAAATTAGGCTGTGGGCGAGATTTTCGCTAGCAACGTACGGGCAGGGCCTGGCTATTGCGCTCGCTCCAGCTACTGCCTCCGCCACTCTGTCGCTACAGGCGCAGGGCGCAGGGCGCGCTAGAGAGGCTCTGGCATCTGCTATCATGCCACCGCCTCAACGGACCGTTGTTGGGTCTGATTAGCTTGAGCGGCCAGCGCAGGGGACTCTATTCTGGCAAGAACGACCTGGCCAGCCCAGATGGCGTACAGCGCAGCGTAGGACTGATATCCAGTATGTAGGTAGGTAGGTAAAGTAGTAGTAGTAGTAGTAGTAGATCCCGATTTGGCCCGGACTTGGCCCTTCACGCGATTGACGAATAGAGGCACGCGTCGCGGCCAGCGCAGACAATGCAAACCAGTGCACCACCGAACAAAGAGGCGGCGGGCACCCCCGAATGCTTTGCATTACCCAGCGTGGGCCTGCGCGCAATGTGCCTCTGCAATACAAACAAAGATCCAACCGCGTTAGCTGTATAGTTACCTCCGACCATCTTCCTGTTTCAATATGCTCTTATCTTCTTTTTTTTTCTTTTTTTTTTTTTGGTGCCCTATTCCTTCTCTATGGTAGTTTCTCTTAGCAAAATGCCTCTCTTTTTTTTCCGATCATAACGTGCTCCTTTGAACTTGAGCTTTACAACGCGTTCAAAAAGATGTAATGTTCCGTTAGGCACGAAGAGAGAGATCCGGACTAGACCGCAAGACACCTTGCGCTTGAGCGCGCCGTCGCGCCTGATGCGCGCGCAAGCGACTGCATATTGAATTAAGGTAAGCAACATCTGTCATATAATCATCCGACTTTCAATAGATTTCTTTAGTAGATATGAGACATGACGTGGCTCTAATATTATTAGACAAACTATACAGGATTAGCTCTTAGATAACTGCGTACATTTTACATCAGAACTGTGCTTGATAATTTTCAAGATTTGAATGATTCAAATAAGTATCAATTTGATTACACCTTTACACGGAACATTACACCGCAGTTGACATTTGCGGAAACTTCAGTCAGAATAGAGCATTATAAAAAATAAAAAAAAAAAATAAAAAATAAAAAAGTGAAATAAAAAAAGGAAAATAATAATTAATCATAATTTTGGGGAAAAATCGATACCGTGAATATTAATCAGTTGCTCTTCCATATTGCAGGAAAATTAACTGATAATGCACGACATCGTTGCGTCATGATATGAGTCGAAAACTTTGAATTACTTACCGAGACCACGTGCGGCGACATCGGTGGCAACGAGGATCGGTGCCTTGCCTGATCTGAAATCTGCAAATAGATAAACAATAATAACTGCACACTCGCGCATCGAGTTAATTCAACTTGATCGCAAACGATACCTCAAGTCACTCGTACCTTGTAAAACCCAATCTCGTTCTTGCTGTGTCTTGTCACCGTGTATGCAAACAGCAGGCCAACCGTCGCGTTTCATTTTTCTCGTAATTTCATCTACTCTACGCTTTGTCTCAATAAATACTATCGTTTTATTCTCGCTTTCAGCCATTATCTCTTTCAACAGAGTGCTTAATCTGTAAATATGTGAGAGAACAATTCTTTTTGATCGACAAGATTATCGACGTATCGAAAAGCCGATAAATCGATAAAGCTAAACTGGTACCGAGGGCGCAATGCCGATACTAACTTATTCTCTTTCTCATAATCTTGACACACATCGATTATCTGCAATATATTATGATTTGCTGCAAGCTGCAGAGAACCGACATTAATTTGAGCATAATCCTTAAGAAAATCCTCAGCTAAATTCTTCACCTCCTTTGGCCATGTGGCAGACCACATTAGGGTCTGCCTGTCTGGTCTAATTTGCTCTATAATCTTTCTGATTTGTGGTTCAAAACCCATATCTAACATTCTGTCGGCTTCATCTAATACCAAGTATGTACATCTTTTTAAATTTGTTTTCCCAGATTCGAGAAAGTCTAATAGTCTACCAGGCGTGGCAATAACGATTTCCACACCACTGTCCAGATCTCTAGCTTGTGCTCCTTTCGGCGCTCCACCATATAAACAAGTGTTCCTAATGCCCGACGAGTGGCCAAAATCATCTGCAACCTGCTGTATTTGTTGAGCAAGTTCTCGTGTAGGTGCTAATACTAACGCAATAGGTCCATCTTTGCGACTTAATTTTGGCTGGCTATTGATGTGAACTATAGCAGGCAATATATAGGACAGTGTTTTCCCAGATCCTGTAGATGCGATGCCTACCATATCTCGTCCACTCAATGCTATTGGCCATCCTTGGGCTTGGATCGATGTAGGTTCATTAAAACCCTGTTTCCTGCAATTTGAAACACAAACAATTTCAAATCAGTGCTCACAATTGCAAGATATCTTGACTTTTGCAATACCGTGTACTCACGTGATTTCCTTAAGGACATATTCCGGAAAACCAGCTTCGCCAAAATTGAAAACAGGATTGGGTATGTTCTTGCCTCTTAGTGTTATCTCCTTCTCACTTCTGTACTGCTCGACAACGCGTGGATCCCGATTCTGAACCGCTTCGTTAGGAATATAAAAATCCTTCTTGAAAGGTTCCAATCGACTGAGGTCCCATCGAGGTTTTCTCAAGTTAGCACCAGGTTGTCCACGGCTGTTGCGACTACTCGTGGCTCTGTCACGTCCGCCGCTACCACCCCAACTCCTCCTGTCACGCGGTGACCTACTACGCGAGCGAGTGCGTGATCTGCGTCTTCTATCTCTGTCGCGACTGCGGCTACAAGAAATTAATTGCAAATTCAATTGTGATCCTCATGTTTGGCTGCGTCAGGCAACCGAAAAAATTCTCTGTTAGAATCATTCTGCCGAATAAGATAACCGCTATATAATATGAATGCGTCGGTGCGATGTGAATGTCTGGAGAAATTACTTTAATACTTGGCTTATTTACCTTCTGTAGCGGCCCATAGCTGTGCCTTGTTCGGATGAACTTTTGATTCTTCACTGAATAGCGTTTCTCGTCAGTAAACAGACTGCGAAAATCACATACGGAAACTGCAAGAATTGACTTCAACGTAACCGATTAAGTGACGCAGAAGAAACGGCGCCATGAACAAGCTATGATGTAGACCTGCTACATCACATCTTCTTCTGAGGGCGTCCAATTCGACATAGCACGATTGGTCACAACCAACCGGTGCAAAATATTATCTGGTGAATTACTAGATCCAACCAATCATTTACTTTGTATCCAATCGCACCGTGTCGAATAGATACACACCCGATTATTCTTTTCATATTCGACTGTGGTTGATTAATTTCTTACGGCGGTCTCCTTTTCTCCTCTTTTCATTGCTCGATTGAAATTAAATTCTACAAGATGTAGAAACAAAGCAAGGATACAAATGTTTGTGTTATCTACGGTGTAGCTGAAACAGTCGGTATTGTTATGACTCTTGAATTAAAAGTCCTTCAGATCCTTCGGAGTCCCTTTGCCAGTATGAAAATTTACGCTAAAGACTGTCAGCATTTGCAGAAATTAGCATTACCTCGTCGAAATGTCGATACTCCAATAGTCTTCATTAGTGTTTTATCGGCGCCTGGGTTAATCGATTCCGCATAGGTTAAAATCCATCTCCACTCGAATACGCCATAAGTTTTTCTGTGTCTGAGCTCCGAGGATAACATTTTATATACTCTTTCTAATCTCTCGTAGCCAATGAAGTGATCCGTAGAGTTGCTGTACTGACTGTTTCATTGGTTACGAAAGATTTGTAGATAAATTAAAAATCTATTTAAATAAATAATTGGACTATGAATAAACATTGGTCCACCTTTAACGAACACTAGTGTAGCGTCTAATCGAATTTGTCTCAATAATACAATAATAATAATTCGCGCGACGCAAGAACAGGTAGGTTAGGGGTCGAGCTAAAGTAATTGGGCTACGCTTCCTATGGTATGTGTATTTTCCCATATTTTTCCTCGCAAACATCATATTTCTTCTGGCACAAACTTTTGGTACGCTTCGTTGTATCATTCCCAAAGTCGGAGTACAGAGCCGGCCGGATTTTCATTCAATATTTCATTTCAAGTGTCCGAAATTGCGTTGTTTGAAAGATATCCCGCGCTCGTGTCTCATTATCGATCGAGTGCAAGATATATCGAGCATCGATATCAGCGGGCGTCCGTTAGAGACATACCTGCTTGCGCAGACGGAAATGCGCGAATAGGAGACATCGACGGCGCGCGCGCACACATGCACGCGCGGTGACGTTACACACGGACAGCACACGAACGAACCCCCCTTCGGGCACACTATCGCAGAACAGCGAACGAGGAAGGGATCTCCGCTAGCCAGTGAACCATTTTTCTGTCGTCAAACGGATCAAGCTTTTTGTGAGACTTGGATCGATCACAAAAAGCGGGATTCGCTTTTCGCATAGGAATTGGCCTGCCGAGGAGCCAGCTGAAGTTCACGAAGTACGTCCGCCCGCAAAACTCGTGAGTAAGGCGCGTGTTTGTCCGGTGACTTTGGCCGTGGGTCGAAGCGCGTAGCGGACGATATATATATACATACCGCCGCGCGGCCGGTCGCGGCTCACCACCGTCGCCGTCGACGATTTGTCAGTCGTTGCATCTGTACGACGTGATGTTTACGCGCCGCGTACATTTTTCGCGCAACAGCGAGCCACCGGCAGCCTCGCGCCACTCGTTCCCGGCAGATTCCCGGCGTATTTCTCGCGTCTCGCACGAGCGTTATTACGGTCAATCGATGGATTTTATAACAATCATGGCGGCCATGCCGGTCTCGGCACTGTTTGCGCGACGGTCCTCCGTCGGCGATTGTGTCTATGAGACGCGGTCCCGTCGCGTCTAACGCACGGATAGTTTACCTCGATTCCCCGACCATTGGAACGCCCCGATTGTACGACTCTGACGTTACGTCAGTATCATTTAATTATGACTAAAAGTTTGAAGTAAACGTTAGAGCTTCATATGTTTGCAGTAGGGCAGTCGAGTACCAGAGTCATTTGTGTAACTTGACTGCTGCTCAGCTTGTGTCATTACTCAGTTGGACAAATATATGAATGTATATAACGTAAGAAATGTTTGGCTAGAAAGTATATAGCTTGGCGTGATGTAAATTGAGTATTTCTTTCATCTAATCTGTTGGACTGCAAGACTGGAACAGCTTGTGTTTTCAGGACGTCACAATGGAGGAAATGCACCAAGTAGCACAGGTTGGGCCTAACATGATGGCTGGTGTGGGTGGTGTTCCTAATCATTCAAATAATGTCAATCGTCGCAACAGAATGCGAGTATCCATACATGCCATGATGTTGGAGAAGTTACCTTTACACGAGGCAGCACGCATGGAAATGAAGGCGATACCCAGCAAAACACCAGTCTCTGTTCTTCAAGAATTACTTTCTCGTAGAGGCACCATACCAAAATACGAATTGGTACAAATTGAGGGCGCTATTCACGAACCTACATTTCGGTATAGAGTCACTGTTGCTGATGTTGTTGGTTTGTATATTTGTTACGCATTTATTTTCACTAACAAAGCCTATGGCAGATGATGTGTTCTCTTTGTATCGCGTCACATTGTTATGTGTCTCTCTGGTAAGTATGTTAGCCATGTAACTAACAAATCCCTATAAATTTTTTGCTCATCGATACAACTTTTAGTGACAATAAATTCATAGCAATTTCCTAACCACATGGTCAATGTCGTTTGCCATAGGCTTAGCAGCGATATTAGCCGATAAGTACAAAGCTACTCAAGCAGATCCAATTGTTTCAGCAATGGGGACCGGCAGGTCTAAAAAGGAGGCAAAACATGCTGCTGCAAAAGCTGTGCTGGATAAATTAATCGGAGTAAATACCGAATCTTCAGAATCTCCGATCCCAAATAATTTACCTGAGTAAGTATTGTTTATAGTTCAAGTTGGGCTTAACAGTCAGGGCACTTGAAATTGTGTATACACATAAGGTATGTACACTTAATGGGGATTTATCCTGTATTTGTTTGTTTACGCAGTTCACAAAATTTACAAGAACTACAAACATACGGAGAGGAAAAAGTAATGAACAACCCAATCGGAGCTTTACAAGAAATGTGTATGTCTCGTCATTGGCCACCACCAAAATATACAATGGAAGGTGAAGAAGGTTTACCACATGAAAGGCAATTCACTATTGTTTGTTCAATATTAAAGTATCGCGAGGTCGGTCAAGGAAAAAGCAAAAAAGTCGCCAAGAGGCATGCTGCTCATAAGATGTGGCAAGCGTTACACGATATGAATAATGAAGCACCTAATGTGGACGAGGATGAGGTAAGACGTCGCATTTACATGTCCTTAATTATTAGATTAAACAGTAGATACACAATAAATTTGTTCGTGTATGTATTATAATACGCTTCACTCGACAATATCCTTGACATTATTGCGATATTTGAATATTCGAGGAACTAACGATTAGCGATATCTATTGTGGGTTTGGTGTGTGCTCGTGTGTGTGCGTCGTGTGTCGTATGTATACGTGCGTGCGCGCGCGCGCACGCGCGATCGTATGCGTGTGAATTTAGCGAAGTGGAAGTGATTTTTACTTAACGTCACTCTCTATTAAATGTAAGCTATCTTTCCGATCTGTTTTAATCTATAACGGACTATTATTCAGGCGGCACGGTGTTTCACTGTTTACCTGTAATTGTATTATGTTGTAATCACACATGTGGTCTTGGGTCATTTCCACTTCATTTCCATTCTTATAGATAAATGTGGAATAACTATTGATAAAGTATTTCCTATAAATGGTTATTGGGGCAGAGATTTATATACTATTACAAATTTTACATGTGATCTTATGTATAATTGTCCGTTATAGATTGTGCAAAGAAATGCAAACGTGAGCGCCCGTTATGCCGATCTGAAAGGTAGCAAAATCTCGACACTGACCACAGTTCATAGTATCCAAGTCTCGAAATTTCACAAGAGTCTCAAGTCGTCCACAGGTGTTAAACTTTTTCAACTGCAGGTGTGTATTCAATTTGCTTCAATCAGTTGAATAGAAGGACAAAATATTCCGATATATTCGCCATATATCATATATTATCAAATTATAAGAAATGTATATCATTGTGTCTATGCAGAACGTAGATATTAATGGGCGTAAATACGCAAAATTGACGAATGACGTTTTGATTTTGTTTCAGAACACTTGTTTCAATGATGGTGATGTAAATTTGGTACAATTCTTACAAGAAATCGCGTCGGAACAGCAGTTTGAAGTAACATATGTTGATATCGAAGAAAAATCTATCAGCGGTAAGTCTACATCTGTACATTATAGGTATATAATGACTTTGCCTTGGTAATAATTATGCACAAAACAAAGTTATGATCTTTTTATTTTTTCATTCTGTTGCTCTGTATTGTATTCTATTCAGTGTCCACTGAGTACAATGTCAACAAGCACATCATGTTCGTTACTTGGTATATCTTCTTGTATCTGTTCTTTGAATCCTAGCGCAATCAAGTATGGTCTTGTACTTTTTTTCTCAAAATATTTTTTTAAATATCTATCGTAATATCCCATTCCGTGCCCTAGACGTTTTCCTAGTGATAATAAAGTATGTAAATATTATCTTTCGATGAGTTACGACATATATCTGTGTAAAAATGTTCATCAATAACGTCGATGACAACGTACCGTTCATGGTGAAAGCAACTCCTGGCAAAATTATGAAATCTAATCCACCTGTGATATAATTTGCACACAGAATTGAAATCATTGATTGATGAAACATATATTGAAAAATATTAGCAACTATAATGTGTGTATTATGGTATAACTTTTATTGTTATTTTGATGATTAATAACAATAACATTTCGTATTCTTAGAGAGAGAGAGAGAGAGAGAGAGAGAGAGAGAGAGAGAGAGAGTGCTATTTTTGTCATGTTGCACAATTAAATTACCTGTTTCCAAAGCATTTTCATGGTATTCATTGATGTTTGGCTGTTTAATGTTCCACTTTGTTAATGGCAATGTCTCGTAATCATCCATTGATTTTAGTTTTACCATCTCCATAGTTTTTCCATGATACAATGGTACAAATGCCTCTTTCCCCAAATCAAATATATGCTTTAAGATTGGCAGAGTATCAATTTCATCTTCAGTACTCAGGTACAACGAAATTCTGTTGCTCTCTTGATATTGCTTCAATGCACATAACTGTAAAAAGTGATAACTTTTCTAATGATACTCTTATTAGCTGTGTTAAGTTTCATTATCTTAAATTCAAGTATGAAATTAATCATTTAAAATAAGGTATATATTTGGCATTTGATAAAGGAGGACAAGAGGACTGTGTGGGATCATTTAAATGTGAAATTGTAAAAAACAAGTGTATTGTTGTATATATTGCAAGTTGCCTGTGCAATATGTAACTTGCAGCATATATACATAACCTCTTTAGAGGATTCAAGTCAAAGTTATCTTATTCACTCTTTCCGTACTCACTTTTTCAAACACTTTTGCAGATTGTATTTTTTTCTCTTCTGGGCTAACATTTTTAAGGATATTCTTCATTTTACTTCTCAAGGCACTCTTAACTGATGATGTAGCCATGTTGTACATTACAGATATGTTTTTCTATATATGCAGCCATATTGAATGTCACAATGTTATCTTTACATAGTTATTTATGATATTTTTGATCTTAGATAACGATTCTTTTTTACATTCCTTTTCACATAGAAATGTGATATTTATAATCTCTAATATTATTAACATGTATCATTGAGCATATTACATTACAAATCATGATAAAAAAATCACACAATCAATTTTATATATTATGAAACAAAAATCACTCAAATACAATGCTAGACTTGTGACTTAAACAGTGCTGTTTTATTTTAAAGGTAAATTCCAGTGCCTTGTGCAACTGTCTACCCTGCCAGTAGCAGTTTGCTATGGTTGCGGTGCGACTAGTAAAGATGCTCAAGCCAGTGCTGCTCAAAATGCTCTGGAATATCTCAAAATCATGACCAAGAAGTGAGCCAGCGCTTCGCTCCTGCCAGCTGTCACTATCAACTGCAAGCCCCATAATAATTTGACATCGAAGAGTCAAAACAACACGACGGACGTCAAGGTATTATCATCTAACAGCCAAATATCCGACAAAGGGAAAAGTGGACACAAGTTGGACCACATCAGCAGCAAGGGTAGAACGTCCAAGTTGTCGGTTAGGGCAACGAACATCGCAGTGGTCGGCAAAGACGCCACTTTCGCGATCGCGACGTCCGCGAATTCGATCACCGCCGGCAAAATTAACTCATCGATGAAGAAGAATGACGGTAATAACGAGAATCAACTCAAATCGAGCGAACAGCATACGACGAAGAACGCGTCGATCGTCAGCGCGAAACAGCAGTCCACGTCTACGTTCAGCAGCGTGCGAGCGGCCGTCGGTACTTGTGTCAACAGCGCGGCGCATGAAAATCCGGTAAAGCCGAAGGATTACATCGCGAAGAAGTTTCCAGGCGAAGCAGACTCGGGAATCAAGAATTATCCGATTCAGTCGGATTACAAGGAGGTGTCGGTCACCAATCCGGATTACAAGAGCAGGAGCAGCGGGTCGTCTATGACCGCGGCCAATCTGCCGTTGAGGTTCGCGACGCAGTCACCGTCGACGTCGTCAGCGGCGGCGGCGGCGTCCGCCTTGCACCGGGAGAACCACACGTCGTCCAGCGCGTCGTACCAGTCCGGAGCCGCGTCTCGCGGTGACAATAGTGCTTTCGCAGTGGCGCGCAAAGCTTTAGAGCAGCAGCAAAGCTCGGCGCCGAAGATGGCGCCGATCAATTTCCCTCCGCTGCGCGCCCCGCAGAGCATCGTCAACGTCCGACACCCATTGCTGACGGACGCGCGGACTAAGCACAGCGAGAACATCGGTCCGGCCGCCAAGTCGAAGCTCAATGTCATGGGTTCGCTGCAGAGCGGCGTGAAAGATCTGGAGCACGGCCGGCAGACGTTCCACGGATACGGCACCTCACCGATCGCCGGCATACCGAGCGTGCAGAGCCTGAGCAACGCGGTCACGGCCAATATCTCGCCGTACCCCAGGCCGGACTCTTTCCCGCAGCCGACGGTGCCGAGCGTGCTATTCTCCGACACCGCGCAGTTCCCGCAGTCGCCGCCGTTTAACACCACGCAATTGGGCCAGCTGAATCAATATCAGACCTACGACCCCGGCAGCTTCGCCACCACGCCGGTCAACGTGAACCCCGTGATACCGCAGTTCTCCGCGGAGAGCTCCATCCCGTATCCGCAGTACGAGAACCCGCCGCAGTTCGTCCAGCCGAATCATTATCCGACGGCGGACATGACGAGCAGCCAGTACCAGTACCAGGCGGCCGGGGTAGGTCAGATACAGGACTCGTCCATGTTCATACAGAGTCTTCAGAGCCCGATCGCGGTGACCGACCAGTACGCTGCGCCGAGTTACGCCAGAGCTGTGAGAACGGAGCTGATACCGCGCTTGAGGCGACCGCCGCGTTTCAACAAGTAAACATCAGGTCGAATGCCACTGTCTGCTTGCGATTCATTTCGCCATCGGGAAAGTCCAGCTATGTCCACCACAAACAACGCTCGCGTCGATGACGATCGGCGAATCTCGAGACATTTGTTGAGAAGGTGAGATCAATCTCTTGACTTGTCGATCATCGAAACGCGAAGATCGTTCGTTGATCCGGGAGATCAGCTGCGGGTGATTAGTAGTCGATAGAATTCCCGTTGCGGCAGATGTACGTGCGCCGGATTTGTCAAATCACTCGCGTCAGTTACGGTGCGTGTGCGCAAACACGGCAGATGTGGCGAAAGTTATTTCAATTCTTGATCCAGTTTGAAATAAATTTTAGCCAATCTCAGTTCACAGTATACAGCATGCACAATAATGCGAGATAACGCGAACGTCCGCCGAACGAAGAGACTGTGCTTTGGCAAATTTACGCGCATTCACACAGTGGAATGGCCACGATGCGTTCTGCGCGACGAAACTGCAGAGATAATGATGATTCTCTGGAAATTTGCGAATAAAGAGGGATGTTTGAACACCCGATAGTCATGCAAAACGAATAAGACACGATGGTTTTGACTTGTTTCCGTCATTCGATGTGACACGGCAGGGCATAGTGCGAGCTGAGCTCAGCTATAATTCTACGATGTAATTTATTAAAAAAATAGCGTGAACACACATTCAAGGGGCTACAAAAGAGAGAAAAACAAAGAACACGCTATATCTACTATGTGGTACCTAATTGTGACTGCTGATCAGAACGGTCCGATTTCTATGAAACAAAAGCAACAAAGAAAAAAGAAAAGGAAACACAGTGATGGCGCAGGATTGCGCTCTGAGAACGTTCTGATCGTTTCCTTTTTTTTTCTTTCTTTTTTTCTTTTTTCTTTCTTTCTTTTTTTTTTCTCTCGAATTTGAGCGCACAGGGTTGCGCGAGGAGGAGCGAACCCGTCCTAGCGCAGGGGGTGCTGCGTTTTGACGGAAAAAGAAAAAAACAGAGAAAGAGAAATAATGATGATATGATGATTCTTAAATAAAAGAACTTAAAAAAAGGAAAAAGAAAAAAGACAAAAAATATCATCTCACGATTATCGTAAGTCCTAGTTTTAATGAACGATATTCTACAAGCTATACTTTGCATAGAATTAGTGGAAGTTTTCCAATATACCTACATAATACTTAGCTTATCGCTATGTTTTTAATGTGCTTTACTATTTGTATATGGGGTGGTGGTGTAAAATGATGCCTGATGATGAATGCACGCGCGCGTGAAAGAAAGAGAGAGAAAGAAGAATATGTGTGCACGCGTGGGTGTGTGAGTGTGTGTGTATATGTGTGTGAGTGAATGTGCATATGAGAGAGAGAGAGAGAGAGAGAGAGAGAGAGAGAGAGAGAGAGAGAGAGAGAGAAAGAGAGAGAGAGATAATAGAACGAAGATGGAAAGAGAGAGAAAGATTATATACGATGGGAAAGAGAACGTAGTGCGGGGCGAACGTTAGGAATTTTTATTACCACAGAAGAGTAAAAGGAGAGACGCGTATCTCGTACGAATTTTGCTCCCATACCGCGAAACATTACATCTCCACTAAGCGTATGCACAATGCAAACGTAGCTTTCGGTGAACCGAATGTAAGCTGTAAACGCGTGATCGCGGATATAAGGATATAATCTTTCATTGGTGTATGTTTTTTCCTTTAGTATGGTAGCTCATAAACTCTCTCATAAGCATCACATATAATACGCGTAAGGATTAATCGTTAAGGATTCCGCATTAAGTACACACGTCAAGTCTAGTAGTCGAGTGTGTACCTATGGTGTGTGTACTGAATTTCGAATTGCCTACGTACAATTGACGTCAACCGGATGAGACTTTTATACTAAATGAAAAAGAGTAACATCGAAAGTACTGTGAGCGGAGCACACGAAGCGAAGCGCGTCAAACGGCAGGACGGCTCGATCGAAGATCAGGAGAAGAAAGAGAGAGAGAGAGAGAGAGAGAGAGAGAGAGAGAGAGAGAGAGAGAGAGAGAAATAAAAAGCTTTCCCCTCCGATCTAGCCGTCGACTGTTGTATACACGGATCGTGACGTATCCTTTTGATTCGTCAAATACGTATGTATTGGGAAAATGTGAGGATCTTGAGGCCGATTTCACCGACACTTGTTGATCCATTCTCTGGTCGAGCGGAGTCTCTGTCTCATTTTACCTGCTTCGAAAGTCAAACACAAGTCTAAAAACAAAATTCCCAAAGGAGGAGACAAAAGAGAGCTGAGAAGGTCTCAAGGCGGAGAGGAGGAGACAGAGAGATTCGCCGCTCGGAGCTGGATGACGGTGGTGGGTGCAATTAGCCCGATAAAGAAATGAATTTGCGGCAAAAAGAAAAGCGGGAAAAATAGTTAATGACGTTTGGGTGCGTAACACCAAGAAAACGGCATAATAATCTTGACTTCCCTTTTGCAATCGGCATATTCTCGCGGTATCGTTTGTCTTGTGAAATTGTATCGTATATATCTGCGTGTGCATACGCCGTTTTGAGTTGCGATGATTCGGGAATATCACGGTACTATAAGGTGTAATTGCGGTACGTCATCGTTGTAATTCGTACGTGAGTGGTATTTCTTTTTTTTTTTTTTTTTTTTTTTTTTTTTTTTTTTTTTCTCGTAGATAGTGCCGCGCTGCGCGCAAAAGAGCGGCACCGTAAGGTAGAGAGATTCGTTAACGTTCCAAGTGTCAAGGTCGACAGCAGCAACATTGATCGGTGTGGCAATGGTAATCGCGCAAAAATGTCACTGCTCGGAGAGAGTAGAGAGAAACACGAGAGAAATCTCCAGAATTCATGTTTGTCGGAGCGAGTCCGCCCAATGATCCAAAGTATCTCCCGCGGGATGTTCACGTTGAGGATCATTCGCGGTTGATCGAGGACCGGCACCAGCCGACGTTGCCGCGCTCGAGCCTCAGCTTCTCGGACATCGGCGGAACAACGCGCGAAATTACCGAGACGAAATCGCATGTATGCACACCTTCTTCGATCGTCACCCGACTACGTCGACGGGCGACGTCGTTTGTTACGGGCGAAAGCGTGTTCTCGTGATTCCTCGACGGCCACGGCGACGAGACGCGTTCGTGGATGATCGAGGGCTTACATGAGGAACATCGTCCTCGGAGCGAGAGTGCGAAAGGAAGAAGGGAGGCTTCAAGTCGCCCGCGTGTGACTCAGTGATTGTGAAAGTGTGTGTTTCATACGTATATCTTTGGAAAATAGGCATTACTTACATGCAAAGTATAGAATGTGTATGTGTGTGTACAAACATACATTCGCTAGAGCGATTATAACGAGGAATGCGGTCGTCTCCTGTTTTCTTTTTTCTTTTGCTTTACGTCAGGAAAACGACTTATACGGCCTCGTGGCGGCTGGCGATTTCCGCGGTAACCGTCGAAACTGAAGCGATCGATGCGACGACGACGACGACGACGATACTCGACCGGATCGTCGTCGCATTGATTGTTTCACTCTCACGTGGGTACCGATCCCTTTCAGGATATTTTTGTGAGACGAAGCGAATTCTCTGTCACGAGAAACCAGAAGCGAAGAAACAATTCGACATCCTTGTCCGGTATTCTCTGACAGAGAGTTCCATTACATAATCATATTTTTCCCGCGTAATTTGCAATCCGTTCGGATTCCTCGAGAAGAATATGCCGCCTCGATATCGAGGCAAGCGATTTTCCGCGTAACAATACTTCTAAAACGCATTGTTTCATATGATACAATCGGTTTCCTTGTTACACGGTCTGCAGAAAGTGTTTTACGAGATCTTGATATATCGTGCGTCATGAATTTTCAATGCACATTCCACTTTCATGCGGCGTAACAATCCTGCATACGCCGAATTATGAAGAGGAGACGGATGCGATGCGGTAACGACAGAATTCGTTCCGTCGAAATTGACGATGTACATCCTTTACGTGGAGCTTCCTCCTCTTCTTTTTTAAAACGACCTCGCAAAATCGAACCGAAAATTTCGAATTTGCATTCGGAAGGCGTGCCGTTGTAAAACAATTTATACATACGTACTGCATATACATATACATATATATATATATATGTATATATATATTATATACATATGCACATATTTTGATCGATTCAACGGTATCCTGATTCTTCTTTTAAAGAAAATTCGCTGGATGACGCACAGAAAGAAAGAGAATGATCGCAGCGTCGTGTTCAGCGCCTTTAACAATCGAGAGAGCGAGTCTCTCGGAGCTAATTTCCAACAATTTAAGTCGCACTTCACCGAAGTACCGCCGACGAGCCTCTAATGCGATACGTGGCGGTACTTCGCGGATGAAAACCAAGAGAGCGAAGCAGTTAGTGTAGAGAGAAGGAGAGCGCGCGACGTGTTCGATACAGTCGATACACGAAACAAACTAAAAAAATGAAAAACAAAAAAGCTAAAAAAAGAAGAAGAAAAGGAGTTTGTCTAGAGAGGGAGGGAGGGAGGGAGGGAGAGAGAACGAAGACGAACAAAGCGGACTCCTCGGTGCCACCTCGGGACCGGAGAAGTGGTGTGGTCTTCGTGGACCAATTATTACGGATGAGAAAAGGAACCGACGGGTCTTCGATACGATCCACGACAGACCTTTTGCTTTCGCTTTTCTTTTCTCGTATCCTCCGCTATTCAAATACGAAGAGCGCGCGGTTAGGTAGGGACGTACCGGCGACAGATGGACGAGCGAACGTCTCCTGCGAGGACACGAGGATAGGTTCTCGCGTTACATTAGCGCGACGGGCCGCTGGGACGAGAAGAGGAATCGACGAGTCTTCGACTCGATCCTCGACAGACTCTCCTTCTCGCTTCTCTCTTCTCGTTCATATCCTCCGCGATCGATATGCGACACGTGGGGACCTCCTGGACCGCTCGCGTTCATCCGTGCTTGACGGGTCGAGTCGGGGCCGCGTTTCTCAGCGAAATTAGTACCACTTTGTCATGGATAACGATCTAATCCGAAGCAATATTTTTATTTTTATTATTATGGATTTACGTTAATTTCGCGTTAACTTACGATTTGCCTGTGGAGAAATCTTTGGGAATCACTCAGCTCCGTGTAAATTGTAAACTCTTGAGAAAGAAACGAAACAAAGAGTACATGTTCAACGATAACTTGTGTATGCATCGGCTGCTTCTACTTCAAAATTATTATTATGGGGTAATGTATATTTATGTACATTTGAGATTGATATGATAACTCTTATTGATAACTCCTTTCGGCTCGCGCGATATCTTGAGGTTTTTATCATGACGGATGTGCCCGATCGCGGTTCATCAGGTCCGCGTTAATCCTCGAGTCCTGCTACGATTGCGCGGCATCAAAGAGACGGGATCTCGACGTTAGCAGCGCTCAAGGATTAAAGAGGTATTTTTTTTTGTTCGTGCGCGCGCGATATCGCTCTCAGTTCGCGCTAAAGCGAAGACGAAGAGATTTTTTCCGTCTCCCGTTGAATGAAGCGCGATAACGTGTTGCGTTTTCTAAGGCTTTATAAAAAAAAAAAGAAGCAGCGGAGAAAAGTAGGACGTTACGTGTAGATAGAAAATGAAGACGATCTTAAAGACAAGTCGCGAGCGTGTTTCGCGACGAGAACGTAATAATGCGTCTCGGACGTGCGACGCGAGTCAGTTTGTTTGCGGATACATCTCATGTTCTACGCAAATGTACAAAAAAAACGGAAAAAAAAAGGAAAACAAGCAGTCTACTCTGTGAAAATCCCCAAATTGGATTTATATAATAGAAAGATAAGCGACGAGTGGATACAAATCTTGCGTGTCGATTTAATTTTCGCATGTACTGTAAGTTTATTTTATTATTGTTATTAATGTCTCTGATTCTTTTCTCGATCGGTCTTGCACGAATTCGTTCGCGACTCACGAATTTTACGACACGAGAGAGTCGCATGTATCCTGTGGAATTAAATTAATCCTTAACTGGTACGAAAGGAAAAAGATCACAGAAGAGATTTACAAAGAAAAGAAAAAAATAACATAGATACGTGTATTTTTCAAAATTTTGATCGTTGTCATTTCAACGTGTGAAAAACGAGAAATTCGCTCGAACAGATCGAATTATGTGAACACGTAAAAAAAAAAGTAGACAGTGCTATATTAGAGAAAATCGCATAACAAACTTTGTAATCGACGATACCAGTTAAGAACTAAATATTAATTCTCGAATCTTTATTATTTATTTCTATCTTTTTTTTTTGTAATAAGAAAATTCCGTATATTGTACCGATTAAATCAGATTTCGAACTTTTGCGGCCACTTTGTAAGATGTATATAAAGCCTGAGGCGAGAGAAACAAAAAGCATTGAGCGTAGCTCGCGCCGGGTTTGACTTCATGCGAGCGAAGTCAAATCCTTCCTTTTTTGCACGCGCGACTTATATATTTTTACTTTATTTTTTCATATTTTCCCCTCTTCCTTGATCGGATTTTGTTTTTGCTTTCGGTAGTCTGCTAAATTAAATTGTTCTTTGTTGCGCGAGCGAGCGGAGTTATTGATTCAACGAGTTAAGTAATATGACACGGACATGGCATACAGATAACGACTTAAAACCGTATTACAGAGCCCTATCTGTAACGCGTGGGGTTATCGATATCTTATAATCAGGCAAAAGGTTGTTCTATGTATGATTGTGCGTGTAACATTGTTAATAAACATACGATGCTTATGAAGGCACCTTCCTATTCATTTTGTTCCGCGTTGTATGTGAATCGTAACAGAAATTGTTTTATATACATTTTAAGTCCCTGTCAATTTTATTATCACAGCGACTGCAAAGAGACAATTTGCAGGAACGCGATGTATCATACTGTATCATCGGACAGTAACACGATCTTCCTTGCTTATCACGTGTGCGTGTGTATGTGTGTGTGTGTGTGTGTGTGTGTGTGCATGCGTATGGTGTATGTTGCAAGATCTTTGTAAATTCAGTTCCCTCACAAAAAAGTCCGGCCTCTCTCTTTGTGAAACATACATGAGACAACATTTTACAAAAAGGTCGGCCTTTTCACACGCGCGAGAGAGCTGAATTCAGAGATAAAACGTGAGATATATAAATATAGTATCAAAAGATGCAGGAGTAAAGAAATCTGTAAAATTATACAACATTTAACTAATATTTAATCGTAAATTACACCTGGCGTCTCCTGGAACAGTCTGTAAAGAAGTTATAAACGGTATCTTGTTGTATACAAGCGACGGCCCTTTATTTACCGATACAAAAATTTTTAAATATAATGTCTAGTATCTCATCGGTGCTCACGTGTCCCGTTATCCTCCCGAGCTCTCTCATCGCCTTGTGAATCTCCTCCGCCGCGATCGCCACATCGTGCCGCTCGTTCGTGCACAGCTCCAAATAATTCTGCAGATGTCTCAGGCACTGCGTCAAATGATTCCTGTGTCTTGCCTGACTGATGGTCGGACTCTCGGCGGACGGATTGCCGCATCTGGGCGAAACGTAATCGTGACGGAAGTATTATTAGGTGTACAACTTTGCTTCCGCCGTTTTTCTATAGATGGCTTTAGCGGTAAGTAGTAGTCGAAATAAATAGATCATAGACGTCATGCAATAAACTTGGGCATCTGTCGACATAACACCATAGAAACATTAGTCGATTTGTGTCTGCATCATAAAGTTATTGTCGATTGAAAATGTCAGTTTACGAGCCAAATTCTCGTCATTTGCGGGAGGTTTTAATTTTCTGCTTCAATATGAAGAAATCTGCGGCTGAGGCTCATCGAATGCTCTCAAATACTTATGGTGAGGCCGCTATTAGTGAAAGAACGTGTCGTGAATGGTTTGAACGCTTCAAGAACGGTGATTTTCGAAGAACCGACATAACGGTGGAAGAGAGAAGGTTTTCGAAGATGCAGAATTGGAGGCATTACTTAATGAAGACTCGTGTCAAAGTCAAGAAGAATTGGCACGATCATTGGGAGTGACTCAACAAGCAATTTCAAAACGCCTCAAAGACATGGGAATGATTCAGAAGCAAGGAAATTGGGTGCCGTACGAGTTGAAACCGAGAGATGTTGAACGGCGTTTGTTTGCTTGTGAACAGTTGCTTGAAAGGCAAAAACGGAAGGGATTTCTGCATCGCATTGTGACTGGGGACGAAAAATGGGTTCATTACGATAACCCCAAGCGCAGAAAATCATGGGCATATCCACGTCGACGGCCAAACCGAATATTCACGGCTCCAAGGTCATGCTCTGTATTTGGTGGGACCAGCTCGGCGTAGTGTATTATGAGCTGTTAAAACCGACTGAAACAATCACAGGCGATCGTTATCGAACGCAATTAATGCGTTTGAGCCGAGCATTGAAAGGCAAACGGCCGCAATACAACGAGAGACACGATAAAATGATTTTGCAGCATGACAATGCTCGACCCCATGTTGCGAAAGTGGTCAAGACATACTTGGAAACGTTGAAATGGGAAGTCCTACCTCACCCGCCGTATTCTCCAGACGTTGCTCCCTCTGACTATCACTTGTTTCGATCAATGGTACACGGCCTGATTGACCAGCACTTCCGGTCTTATGAAGAAGTAAGAAATTGGATCGATTCGTGGATCGTTTCAAAAGATGACCAGTTTTTTCAACGCGGGATTCGTACGTTGCCCGAAAGGTGGGAGAAAGTAGTGGCCAGCGATGGACAATACTTTGAATCATAAATGTATAACCAGTTTTTTACAATAAAGCCTCGAATTTCGGAAAAAAAAATGGCGGAAGCAAAGTTGTACACCTAATAGTTAAATGTCGTGAAGAGCATGAGTCGCGTGTCATGAGCTCCCTTTGTTAATTCTACAATAACATCGTGATACGTACATATTCCGGAAGCGATCGGTCAGCGATCGCAGTAAATCCCGAAAACCGCTTTCCGTCTTGCAGGATATCAAGACTCCTTCGGTATCGCTTAGCCGCCTCTCGTCCTCCTCACTCAGCAAATCTCTCTTGTTCATAATCACGACGAAGCGTTGCTTTCCCATCTTCGTCAACAGTTCGTGTATCCCCAAAGACGACAGGTACTCGTGCACGTAATCGTCATAAGTCACGTTGCTTGCCGCAACCTTGGACGCATCCATGACAACGACGACAAAGTCAGCGTTCACCACGTGCTTCCTCGCCCGACGGACGCCCTCCGCTTCGACGATGTCGTCCGTGTGGTCCGTGATGCCGGCGGTGTCTGCTATCAGTACTGGGTAGCCGGAGATGTTCGCACTCAGCTCGATAACGTCCCTGGTGGTGCCGGCGATGGGTGTAACGATCACGGCGTTTCGTTGCACCAAGTGATTCAGCAGACTGCTCTTGCCGACATTGGGCTCACCGACAATGACGGTCCTGACTCCGTTGCGCAGGATCTCGCCTTTCCTGCCATCGGCCAGGTGTTCCTCCATGTCGCTTATGAGCTTCTTCAACGTACCGTGCGTCCTCTCCACCACGTCGCTCTCGATGTTGTCGTCCTCGCCGAAATCGATGTACGCCTCAATACTCGCCACGCCCTCCGACAGCACCTTCCTCCAGTTATCATACAGTTTGCGCAGCAAACCGTCCGCCTGTAGCAGAGCTTGTTTTCTTTGGCATTCCGTCTCCGCTTCTATCAGATCGGCCAGACCCTCTACTTCGGTGAGGTCCAGCTTGTTATTGTAAAAGGCGCGTCTGGTGAACTCACCCGGCTGCGCTGGGTACACCTGCAGCTTCGACAAGGTCTGCATCAGGCGGCTGAGGATCGCCGGTCCACCGTGCACGTGGAACTCCACGGAATCTTCGCCAGTGAACGAGTGAGGTCCTAAAAATCAATCGTCAGATATGCGACTCGGGGTTGATTGACTGAATAATTTATAAAAATTTAGCTACCAAGTAGCAAAAACGGCAAACATTACACATCAATCTTATAGTTTCCCATTCGAAACAACTGTTATATATATTACATCGTATTACTGATGTTGTTGAGCGGGAAATTGTAAAGTGCGTAATTAGGGATGGGAATCTTTCATGTATACCGGGAAACCACAGGCAAAGCCCATGGTCGATCACTTCTCCCGTCTCGGGGTCGCGTATTTTCCGCAAGAAAGCTTTCCTCGGCTCCAGCTTCGATGTGTTCGTCATCCTCCTCAGTGCGTCCATAGACCGGCTCCCCGAGATCCTTACGACCGCCACGCCGCATTTCCCGTGTCCTTTAAAAAACGACAAGTCCAATGTTTCCATCAATTCGAAATCTGTTCTCGCGCGCTCAGACAAAAGACGCGGGAAAAAACAAGATAAAAATTGAAATCTGATAAGAGCACTCGAACAGGAAATATTTTTCGGTTGAACATGATATGCGCTGTTCGAAACATGTGTATCGACTATTTGAAGAAGCTAAAGGCGACACCGGCTAAACGACTGATTCGCTACCGAACATGTTTCAAATTCACTCGAGATTCTAATAAGCTGCCACAAGGCCAAATCAACGCGTCACATTCGTTTCACCCGAGGAAAAAAGTCAATCGAATCATTTCTGAGACTTTTGATCTGCGAAGTGTGAGTCGGAAATGAGGGGGGAAACGCGCGGTAAAGTGCATTTACGAGCGAACAGGCTCGTAGGTTAAGTGAAACCCAAGCGAAGTAATAAGCTCATTGCCGTGTATTTTTAACGCATCGCACGTTTCCCAATGAGCGATATGTCAGTGAATATATAAATGAATAACCGGAGGACAAAGCGCAAATGGTCGTGCTCCTCCGTTCGCTCGCGAAACAGCTGGTTGTGCAGCGGCTGATGGCGGTGTAAGACGTCCTGTGTGATGCAATAGCCCGCGTCCAAGAAGATCCTCGGCTGAGACACTCGCGGAGAAACATCGGATACGCTCGAGATACGACCGCACGTAAGGTAAACGCTCTCGTAATTATCTGTAAAGATAAATGTCAACACAAATGTGTGTCGAGCGAGAAAGAGGCATGCCAACGGTCAGACAGCGACGAAGCAACAATAGCAGCATGTCGTCACCGCAATGAGACTGCTGAAACGAAGAACACTGTGCCGCTCGTTAGATTAAGAGTATCAAGAGGAATGTCGGATCTACTGGTTGGAATGTATCTATTTGTGTGGTTCACGAAAACTCATTGTTCTCGTTGATGCTCGACTATGCGGCTTCCATTGTGTATGCTGTGTGGCGGTATATTTAAATGTCGAGGAGTGCATTGAATATATCATTGATGACTGTTGTTATCAAGACCGTTGATGTGTACGTATGGTGTTTCAGGCTAGCCATTATTCGTCACAATTTTACATGTGCACGATGGCAGAGGTGACAGAGTTCAAGCCCAGCAAAATAGTGCAGGACAGATGTATCAAATGGATGGAGCTGCAAGATTATTCGTACACCGAAAACACCACTGCCAAGCGAAAGTTGATTGAATTCGAGTACGACGACTGTTACAATACAGATTCTGAATTTGATTCAGTCTCGGTGTGCGACACCAAGAAACGCAGAGTGGGAATACAATTGAAGGATGAAATCTTGGATCTGGCTTGCGAGTGGAAAGAGTGTTCTTTTCGCAGCAGACGCATGGAACAATTTCTGAAGCATGTGTCGGGTCATATATCTAATGTACAAGTACGCATGAAGGATGGCAATGAAGTCTTTGTGTGTCAGTGGAAAGATTGTCCATATGACACTTTTGCATGTGAGGAGATAGCACTTCATGTTAATTATCATTCCTATCATACAAAATTGAAATCCATCGGTTCCAATGTCCGTGAGAGAATCAAGCTGCCTGTAAGTAATCAATGTGTGAATCTTATTTGAGAGCGTTACTTGCACTAATGATGAAACCAAATACCAGAGGTTGATAGTTCTGCTCTTTCTTACAGAAATGCCGTAGAGACTTAGACTGGAAGAACATCATAGAAACTCCACCCACGCATTTGTGCAGATGGGAAGAGTGTTTGAAGGTGTTTATAAACTACCAATTATATCTATATCACGTCACCGTACACGTAGAGGAGTGCCCGCGTGGCAGTCGAGTTCAGAATGGAGTGGAGTGTAAGTGGACTGGTTGCAATGGCAAATATCCCAATTTATACAAACTGAGGGATCACATGAGATGTCATACTAAAGAAAAAATAGTTGCATGTCCGGATTGCGGTGTTATGTTCGCATCCAAGACGAAATTTCACATACACTGCCAGCGGCAAATTCCCTTAGATGGTATACATTAATTGTTTATCTCGAGTCTCTCTTGCTTTTTCGTTTGATTAATCTTAGTCAAAACGCATCAATGGTTTACAGTACAGGGATTTCGATGTTCACACTGCAAGAAGTTTTACCCGACCGAGAGAATTCTGCGGGATCATATGAGATTCCACGTATTCAACTACAAGTGTAGTCTTTGCGACATGAGCTGCGAATCGCCAGCTAGCTTGGCGAAACACGTGAGATACCGGCATGTAACGACTAGGACCTTTCCATGCCAATTATGCACTCACGCCGCAAAATCGCAACAAGATCTAGATTATCACATGACTGTGCATACCGATGGACCGAATTTCTTCTGCCAATTTGAGGGGTGTCATTACACATGCAAAGGAGCCTACACTTTGGACAGGTATAGACGACTCATAAGAAGCTCTTACTAAGACAACTACGAAATTATTAATATTTGTCACAATTATCTGAATTATTCCAGACATTTGGAACGAGCACACAGTATGATGACACGGTGGTACTGTTGTCACGAATGCCCGATCAAGTATCGGACAAGCGCCAGACTGACGAAGCATCTCATAGAGGCTCACCAGTTGCAATTGCCTAGTGGACATAAGCGTTTTCACTATAAGCAGGACGAAGACGGATGTTACAGAATACAAATGGTCAGGTACGAGGCCGTGGACGAAGAGAACGTGTCGCCCGTCGAAGAGGCGCAATTACCGGACAAGAAATATAAAATAGAAATAAGTCACACTCTACCATTGATAGAAGTGAAGGTGATATTACAGCAAATTAAGTTACTGTTAAATCTAACGTCTCTTTGCTAGTTTTTACACAATTCTTTCTGTCCAGATTATGGAAGATAACACGGACGCGAGGGAAACAGAATGGAAACAGATGGACGAACAGAATGTACAAGTAGAAACGGTAGTGCCCAATGTTAATGGAACTATACCTGTTATATCTAATATTTTAATATCTATTGAGGAAGTAGATGCAAAAGGGAATCTTATAAAACGGGAATTTGTCGAGACACAGGAAACCAGCGAGTTACCTCCATCAGAGGAACCACCGTTAATTTTAATATAAGCATAATAGACTTCTTTTATGAGGTATATTCATGTATGTATATGTATTTTTTATATTATTGCATTATGTGATTTTATATTGGATACATTTTATACTATCTATATATTTGTTGTTGTATCCAACTCTTAATGAGAATGACTATTAAATTTCTTTTATTATACTATACTTTTCATTAATCTTTTGTTTATTTTATAGCATTTGCCAACTTATATTAGCAAATTATGCTTACAATAGTGATATACAAAAGTAAAATACCTTGTTTACTGAAATTTAATATAATAAACTATGTAAATAGAATTTCACATTTATTGGAATAATGTTTAGCAATACTATGGCATAGTTATTTATATGACAACAAAATTGTTGAGCTCTCTGCGATTGTATTCTTATAAAAGTAATAAATTACCTGATGCTCAATGTGTTTAGCAAGAATTCTACAAAAAAGTAGTATTTTAACATGATAAGATTATCTTCTTTTAAATCCATATTTCTTTCTTTCATAGAAGAGATCTGTCTTTGAGCTTCCTAAATTAACTATTTTAGGGCAACCATCTCTCTGAAAATATAAATTAAAAGCATTTAATTTACATCAAGAATTGTGATTATTATACATAACGAATTAATAACCAACTTACATCTTTCTCTTGTATTGTACATTCTTTACAGTAGTATGCATCAGATACACCAGGACCACCGCATATCACACAACGTCCCTGATAAGAACCATAATTGCACTCGTCGCATATCCTAACTAATGTGCAAGGTCTGACATAAGAATCGCAAATAACACATTTGCCATCACATTTCTCGCACAGTCGACCGATAGCTGAAACATAATTATATCAATTATACCGGCACAAATGAAGGTTAGAAAATTTTAACTTACCAACTCCCGGCTGTTTACGACAGAAAATTAAATCCGGATGATGCTTAGCCATGCTCTCTAAATGCTATTAGTTGGCTTACGATGACTTATATGGTCATCAATAGTAAAAAACCTATTATATCAAGTTCGTTTCTTCTTTATTATTCGAATTTGCTTGATATTTTAGTTTATTGTCGTCATTAAAAAATAAAAAGATGGACGGCTTTGGAACGATGAATCGATGTTCGAATCTTTGTTAAAAGATCGATTATTTTCGATATTCCTGAATCGGATTAACGACAGTTGGGATTGGTCAATTTCCTGGTAATAACAGTGATTAAGGCCTGGTCTACAATACGTGTCGTAAGTTGTAAGCCGTAAGAATTGGCGAATCACAGTCGATTATTATCAAAATAATCGGCTATAATTGGTCAGTTCTTACGGCTTACAGCTTACAACACCTATTGTAGACCAGACCTAAAGGCTCGTCTACAATAGCTGTAAGAGTAAGGCGGTAAGGCTGTAACGTAAGCTGTCAGCGAATGAAAATATTTCATTTCGTGTCTTGCAACCTTACAGCCTTAAGCCAGCGGCACACGATGCTTGTTTTTGTGCTGGATTGCTTGCTGGATGAAAATACTGCGTTCTGATTGGTGCATTTCCATTCATCTTCGGAAATGTACCAATCAGAATGCAGTATTTTCGTCCAGCAAGCAATCCAGCACGAAAACAAGCACCGTGTGCCGTTGGCTTAACCTATCCCTATCCTGTCCTTTGACATTCCTCGTGTTTAAAATTAAGCTATTCAACACCTTTTGCTTACGTCAACAATAATTAAACATTTAAAATCTTTCATCAGCAGAAATGGCTGAGGCTATGCGTCAAACCGTTGCTGGTATGCTCAAAGGCATCGAAAGGTATTGTTCTTATTATGTATTATATTCACAGTCATTATTCACATGCAGACAACATTTAGTAAAATATTTAATGTATTTCTTTTAACGAGAACCTTGTATTACAATACAGAACTAAAAATATTATAAATATAATTTTTATTTTATTTTAAATTAACTTTTCTTCATGTTTTCTTAACTGTGTAAATTTCTCTAGGTACAATCCGGATAACCTCTCAACTCTGGAGAAGTATGTAGAGATACAATCAAGGGAGAATGCATATGACTTAGAAGCAAATTTAGCTGTTCTAAAGCTTTACCAATTGAACCCGCATCGGTTTAACATGGATATAACTTGTCAGATATTGTTAAAAGCTTTAACTAATCTTCCACACACAGACTTTGTATTGTGTAAATGCTTGCTCAGTGAGAAACTTGTAAGTTCTATCAAAGTATAGAACTATTATTTCTTTTCACCGAATACATATATATTTATCACAGTAATCTTTGTAGATGTCAGAAAGTCCTATCGATCAAATTATGTACTTGGGAGATATTTTGGAACGGTGTGAATTCCAGCATTTTTGGGATAGAGTATTGTCCATGTCGGAACTTTGTGATAGGATTGTAGGTTTCCAGGATTCTATACGAAAATTTGTGTGTCATGTGGTTGGAATCACATTTCAAACAATAGACAAAAGTCTCTTGGCACAGCTACTTGGTGGTGTAGATGGTATGATATTGTTTTTATTTTTTTACAATTTTCTATGGTATAATGAAATTTATAAAATTACCTGATGTTACAGATGCAACATTGAAACATTGGGTAAAGAAATATGGTTGGAAAGAGGAAAGTAAAACAATCATCTTTATCGCGAATCAAGATGAAAACATCAAGACCAAGAATATTACTGAAAAAATTGATTTTGAAAATGTAGCAGGTTTGATGGCCGCTTGTTTGTGAATATATACCGACGATTGTTTTCTAATAAATTAAGTGTATGGATTATTCAGGTTCATCAACAGATTCAAAATATCTACCACATTTATTGATTACAACATATATTCCTAATTTTATAAAGAGAAATGCATATATATAATTATGATTTATTGTGTATAATAAATGATATTTCACATACAACTTAATGTTACAGCTTGACAGCATCTCTTGTTTTATCTGATTTCATCATTTCATGCATCAGTAGAGTCTTCATCAAGTTTTATATTATGACTTTTTCCTGTATTGTCCTCAGATTCTGTCAAGTCTGGGCTACCAGAGAGAGATTCATTTGTTATTTTTTCTGCGGTAACGTCAGATTGTGTATCTTCTGTACAATGAGAAGCAGATAATGCAGCTTGCGTCTCTGCTGAAGTATCATTCTTCAAAATTTCACGAAGTGCCATAGTAGCATAATTGCTAGATTTCAAACACATTTCCACAATCAATGCCTTGTACTGTCCATCTGAAAAAAATAGATACGGACTGAATAATTTGAAATAAATATTACTTAGCAAGCGCAAGATTATTTAATTTACCTGGTTTATCCTGTGCAGGCGCATGCTTTCTCATTTCATCGATATCCGAAAGAATAAGATCGTCATGCTTCTCATTGTAGCGCATAATTTTCCATGATAAGTCTGTTGGAATTCCTAATATTTTTCTATAGGAACCACCCAAACTGTACTTCCTAAAGAATGACAACAAACGAGAGTAATGATTGCACGAGAGTAAGTATTGCAACACTAAATTACATAGACAAAAGCACACTTACTTATTTTTCTGTCTGAGATCGGTAGTTAGTCCATCTTTGTCTAAAAATTCGTCGAACCAAGGCTTAGCGTATGGTGGATATGTAACTTTCCAGCCAGGCTGAGGTATAATAACGTCGGCTAGAGTGTAGTTTGACAAATCCTCTTTTGTGAGAATTTTTACCACGGGAAGGTCGTTTACGCCTTCTTCCGTTAAATCGTCAGTCGCTTTGGTAGTTTCTGGTTTTTCTTCAGTTTCTTTGTCCACAATTGAATCGATATCCTTTTTTTCAGTAGAAGTAACATCACTTTCGTCTTTAACATTGTCAGTGTCATCCAGAGAGCGATCTGTCGTCTCGTTAGTTATATCCTCTTTGCAATTTTGCTTGTCATAAACCAAATCACCCACAATTACATTCGTGCCGAATTGTTTTATTCTTCTTGACACGATGTGGTTCCAGACGAAGCTCTGGTAGGCGTGTATATACATTAATCGAATGTTTCTGGGTACGAAATCGAGCGCGCCTACAAGATTATTGTTGCCTGATATTTGCAAGCCTTTCAGGAGCCTGGCTTCGATTTTATCAACTCTCTTGATCCTGGCATAAGCGGCATGGGCATCTTTAGTTTCCGCGTAAATCTGTCTAGCCTCTGCCAATTCTTTATCTTGCTCTCTTTCCCGCGGTTTCAAAATCAGTTCTATCGCTTCGTGCCATTTACCTGATTGCAAAAAATATTCATTAACAGTAATAATTAATATTGCAACGAAGATTAAAGAGTAACGACATCGAGGAATTATATAATAATTACCTTGAAGTAGACGCTTTCCGATATCATGCGTGGGTATAGCAGCTATTGAACCAAATCTTTGCAAACCGTAATAATTAATGAAGCCATTATCGCGCAATGACGTCATTGCTTGCTCAATCTCCTCGTCTGACCCTTGTACGTTCCTCAGCGCTATTCTAAATTGATTGCCATGCAGCATGCCTAGTTTTAGGCAATCTTTGGCATACTTAAAATTTCCTACATACACGCCGTGTATAGTTTTTCCCATTCTCAGTATGTCACGGGGATCTATCTTCTTCAAACTCACCCACTGGGTCGTCCATGCTCGACGATCTTTTGTACCGGCATAATTGAAAATGTCTGGCCGTATTCGTAGGCTTGCAGCCAGCTGATTTAAAGCATCCATTGTATCCATATTCACTTTGTGCAATAGGAAGTGACAGTAATCGCCACCGCGTTTTTTCCAATCTATCCTGTTATCTTTGCGCATTTTGTTAGCTGTAATACAAGGATTGAGAATCATATGTAAATAAAGAATTACATGGGAGATGTTTGTAACATACCAATCTTATTGTCTTGGCTATTTGGCACAACAGTGATAAATTTTTTGTCTTCTTTATTTACTGTTTGGCTAATTGCATTCACTAGTCTCTTTGCAATTGTATGAATAGCCTTGCGTTCAGATTTATCTAGGCTCGTTACATCAATCTCTATGCCTGAGGAGGACGAAGGATCATCTTCCTTCAAAGTATGCAATTGATCCCATATTGCTGATGGTATCAATTTCTTCAGATCTTCAATGTCCTGATCATCCTCTGGTTCATGTGGAATGTCTTGATGAGTCAGCTTGGCTACTTGTCCATTGAGATCAAGCTCATTGACATGGAAGTCTGTGTATCTTTCTTTGATTATTGCAGAGAAACCAGTATGCTTGCCGACGTATTCTGTAATGTCTATGTCAGATTCCTTGAGTCTATTGCCGACGTCCAATTTGTTTTTTTTCCAATTTTCTCGTGGAAGTCGCTCAAATCTGCGTTTTATGCCTCCTCTATTAGAATAGCTTTGGCGACCACCTTAATAACAACATCTCATTTCAACAATTGCAATCACACAGGGGGTTCATTGTAATAAATAATAAATACCTCTCAAGCCTGATTTGAAATTACTGCGACTTTTGTTATTACCGCTGGAAATAACACTCGCAACAACGGTATTATCAGTTGACATTATGTATTCAATCGTGTGGAGTAAAAACACGCGTGTAAACATAACCTGAATGATCTAATCGCGGTGATCACGTGGACTGCAACGTCTCTATAGTATACGTGACACAAACTATGTATTTTCAGTACTGGCGGTGAATTCGGAACGCAGCCTTTAATTCTCTTTAGGCAAAAATCTAACGACTTCTTTTTCGATATGTTTGATATATATATATTTTTTCAACATTTTTGTTAAAAAGTTACAATTTATTATACGATAGAATTGTGTAAAATATTCATATCAACATATAGTTACTTTCTGTCGTAATATTCAAAAATTCAAATTTAAAATTTCGAATTCTTAAATATTGAGGAAATAATTACTAGTTTAGTCACTAGTATATCGATAATGATTTACAGTAGCGACACCATTCTTGACTGACATATTTATTTTCAGGATAAATCACTGCCGGAAGAATGGTATCACTGCGAAAATGCGAGTGCTTCGAAATTACCAAAGAACACAATGGCGCGCGACAAATTTCTTCTTCGTTCTGTGCCGCTTGTGAAAAACGTGCGGTCGTCAGTGTTGATCGCGCGTGAAAATATCCCGAGAGTACGCTCCGCGGTGTGGGAGGACAACGATGAAGCATGCGGCAGAATAACCGCACAGGTGAGAGCGCGAAGCGGATGGAATATGGCTCGAGGGATAGATATGGCTAGAGGGGTATCGAAATCTAGGCCCCTGCAAAATCCCGCGAGCGGGAATGGCGAAAACGCAATTTCGCGATACGATTTTTCGGCCAATGGCTTTCTCTCGACAAACAAATACCGCAAGAATTAAACGAAACTCGAAACGATAGTTGATGAATATCCAGTCCGCGCGTTTTAGCCTCACTTTCTATATCGTCCTCCTCTTCTCTTTCTTTCGTCAAATTTTAAACACACACACACACATACACAGAATAAAGCTGAAAAGAACAGATTTTTCATTCTCCTGGGTTGGAGAAAAATTTTATGGTAACGGTCTCAAGGGAGGGACAAGGAGAGGAAAGAGAGAGAGAGAGAGAGAGAGAGAGAGAGGGAGAGAGAGAGAGAGAGAGAGAGAGAGAGAGAGAGGGAGAGAGAGAGAGAGAGAGAGAGAGAGCATGCGCCCTGCGAGTTACGCGAAGTACGCTGATTACGGCGCGCGTGGGGTGTCGTAGTAGTAGTAGTCGGGGAGGGATGACACGCCGTCAGTGTACCGCGAGCTACGAAGGAGAATACAGGTTGCGCGCGCGCGCGCGTCGCCTTCGCCGTCGCGTTTTGCGTCAGTGGGCGTAATCGCGCCGCGTCGTACATCATCGCGGGGTTGTGCAGCGGTGGTCGTAGTGCTCGTCCTGCGACAACGACGACGGTTTACGACAACCCCTTCTGTCGCGGCGCTATTCCGCATCGTCGTTGGTCCTCGCGAGTGGTAGGCGAGTCGGGCCGCGCTTCAGCCCCTCGCTCGTCGGCGATGCGAGCTCGAGACTCGCGATAGTCGCGAACGCGGGAAAAACGGATGCGCGTGTGTCGAGACACGAGCGGAGTGCCGATGCGGGATGAGCGCCAGAGAAGTCACTCTCTTCGGCGGCTCGCCATGGGGCTTCCGGATGCACGGCGGATGCGACTCTCACCAACCCCTGCGCATTTCCAGGGTGAGTACGAACATACGACGATGTTTTCTTTCGATTGGCCCGCACCGATGGCCGACGGTGCGAGAGCGCGCCTCGCAGCGGTCACGTGATCGCGTTATTACAAAGAGAGAGAGAGAGAGAGAGAGAGAGAGAGAGAGAGAGAGAGAGAGAGAGAGAGAGAGAGAGAGAGAGCGTCATTTTTGTTTTCGAATTGGCGCCTCGCACTCGGCCGATTTGAATATCGCGTGACTAACAACGCGGCAGAGTTACCGCACCGCCGAGTTATTACGTGTGTGTACTTGTGCGTATGTGTGTGTGGTGTGCGTTTATACGACGCTAATTGTTATTAATAGCGATAACTGATTATTCGCACTGACGCGACAGAACGAGGCGCAGCGGTCGCGTAACTTTTGTCCCCGTCACCGAGTGCAATAATGCAAGCAGGATTATACAATTATACGCGGCGTTTCATATTTTAATACTCGATGAGGATACATCGTCCATAATTCTTTATTCATAAGTATCGTATCGTTTCGTGTTCGCCGCGGCTTAATGCAACGCGGCTGCGAAGACGTACAGTGGTTATTAACGTAGTGTCGCATTAATATGCCTCGGCCGACATTCAATTAGTCCAATTTATGTGGACCGTTTCGATAAGTTTAATGACGCTCGTGAAAGCGCCACGTGTACGATTGGAGAGAAGAGAAGGAGAGAAAAGGGAGAAAAATGTAGGAGGAAAACGCCCGCGTTGTGTAGCCTCTCTTCGCGATTATCCCATTTATCTGTGTCTCGGACTGTCGTTTATCGTAAGTGGTGAAACGGGATAATCGCACCAGTGGAAAAAGTTGCATCGATCCAGCCGTGTCGCGGCCGTACTTTTATCACTGAACGCGCCTCCGTAATTTTCGCCGCAACCACTGCGAATCCGCGTTTGCTCTCGCATTGACTTTTTGCGCACGGATGATCCCTCCGTTTCGAGAGAATACATTTTTTTCCGATCGCATTGAGCGCTCACATGTACACACGCACACACACACATGCGTAACCACCCGGTAAATCCATCTCTGTCTTTTTCTTTCGCGGATTGTTCGTTGAACAATCGCAGCGTTGGTTTTCGTAAATTCGCTCAGAGAGGAGGAAAGAGGAATATGCTAAACTGTTCAGAATATCGACAGTGAAAAATTAATTTCAATATACAATATTTGGGTCACGATAAATCCGAAACAAATTGGGTCAGCGGAGAGGGAGAGAGCGATAATGCGTAAACCCGATGACAACATCGTTTCTGCTTGCTCAACCTCGGACATTATCCTTTCGTCAATAGATATCAGGTCGATTGTTGCCGGTGTGCACGGCAGTTCTAGTCGCGGAAATATATAAATGATCCTATCATTACGCGTTTACGCGGATCGATACGACGTGTACAATTTGTCGATGCGCAGTCCGTCTGGAACAAGTGGCTTCCTGTTTGTCCGCAAAGACGCGCGGATTAAGATCGCGACGAGCAATTTATTCGACGTGCATAATCGCGGGCCTCGAAGCGTCACTCGCGGTCGGTCCTGTGGCTAGCCAGCTAGCTAGCTGACTAACTAAGCTAGCCAGCTATAATTTCAGACATTCGATAGTTAGGTTTGCGAGCCACACAGCGAAGGTCGACGGGTCGAAGCCTTGGCGTGACTCTCCCTGCCTCGTTTCGCTGCCACGTGCCTCGCGTAAACGTCGGCGAATCTCATTTTATTCGGACCACGGCATTCGGGTCGGCCACGTGCTCGGTGTGGGTTATCGCGGATGTAACGCGAATGAACGATCGGCCGGATGGCGCGGCCTCGCGGCGAAGACGCGATCGATCCCGGCACGCGAGAAGATCGTCCGCGCTGAACCCTCCCCGCGCGGTTAAAATTGGAGCGAATATCCGCGGATATCTTCCGTTCTCTCCCGGCTTTGGACAGCTCAGTGACGCGGTTATCTGCGCGATGTCGCTTGACGTCTCAAATTGGCGTAGCGCGCCAATTTGAGGAGAGCCGGCGCTATTTTCGATCGATCGAATTATGTCTCGAATTACGAGGTCGATGTTTACGGAGCCGCGTAGATGGGAAATCTCTCCCGCCTGCCCGACTTCGCCTGGCCTGCAAGACCATTTCCGCGCGCGACTCTTTCGCCGCGCAGCAACGCGACACGTGACCTTTCGTTATGTAACGCAGGTGATGTTGTGACGCGGCGGAATGATTCATAAGAGCTGCGAACGCGCAAATTGCAGCGCGCCTGCTCGCTCGCTCGCCCGCCCGCCGTGAAACAGAACTTTGAATTGCATATTTACGCGCATGACATGAATATAACACATCTACGGCGGTGACGCGAAACACGCGTCCGTTTCGGCTTCGCACGAACGAAAACATACCGACCCGGGTCAAAGGTCGCCGCTAAAATCGTCGGTCCCGCGTTGGATTTATTCTTGCGCCTCGCCGCGATATCCGCACGATTATCTTCGACTGGACGAATGGACAGCTGTCGGTCGCTATCGGTTTTTAAATTTACTCAGACTATCTTGAGTCGCGGCTCATTTAATTGCTCTCCACTGGGCTTTAAATGTCCGATGCGCGATCGAACACGCGCTGGGACATCGCATCGTGTACCGTATCGAAATTTGTGCGTGGATCACGCATCTTACGTAAAGGGTGATTTACACGATGCTGCTTTTACTCGCTTTGAGCAAGCTTCTTAAGTCGCCAGCGAATTCGCTGGTGAAAACTTCTTCTAGACGCTCGATTTTGATTCGCTAGCATTTAAAATTTGGAAGACGCAGCGTCTATTAGTCACTATGGCAAAGTTGAACATGTTTAACTTTTGTCGCTCGCGTCAAGCGACATTGAACTGTCTTTTTTCTGTATAAGCGGATGCACCTTTTTCAAGAGTTCTTCAAATTTCTCGCACGTTAATCGCAATATTTTACGGTATGCGGTTAGATCCTCCAATGCCAATTCTTTGAAAAGATTATTTGATGCTCCATGAGTTAATCTTCTACCTATCCACTTACGTACCCACATTCTTTTTTTTTTTTTTATTTTGTCACTGAGCCACGAATTTCTGCTTGAAGAGCTCATGCACAAAGCACGACAGCAGTTTGAACTGTGTCATTCCTTGACGCTATGATACTTTCAACTGACCGTTTCCGCAAAATTCTCCTTAAAACGCTAGCGACTAAACGCTGTTTATCAGCATCGTGTAAACGCTAGCTCCAACGCTAGCGACTTTGTCAGCCAGAAATTCGCTCTAGGAAAACGAGAAGCTGGCGACAAAAGAAGTCAGCGTCAAGCGTCAAAAGCATGCATTGTGTAAATCATCCTTTACGCACACTGTGGACAACTTGGCGCGATCTTCGACCGCCCAAAGATCACACACGCGTTCTTCGTTGGCTCACCTCTCTGTTCAACGGATTAATGTTGCTCGATCAAGAGAGAGAGAGAGAGAGAGAGAGAGAGAGAGAGCGAGATACAGCGTAGCTGTTTCACGTACGATCCATCCACGCGCTTATCAGTGCCGTCTACGCAGAAAATGATTCTTTCTCGCGGACGGGCAGCACGTACCGGGTGTTAAAGTGTTTCGTACTCCGCGTTCTCAGCGCTGTGCTGCTGCTGCCAATTAAGAAGACCCGATTCGGCGATAAAAAGGCGACGACTCTTGGAAGAGGATGGACACGCTAATAAATCGTAGTCGCGTCGCGAGCGGCCGGGGAAACGGAAAAGGAGGAAAGACGAGAGAGAGAGAGAGAGAGAGAGAGAGAGAGAGAGAGAGAGAGAGAGAGAGAGAGAGAAACGGAAGGACACCCGCGGCATTGACATCGGCGTTTCAAGGCCGCACGTAGGCAGAAACTGGCACGCGTTTTGTGACGTAATCGCGAACGTGTGAACCCGTAAACGCGAACGGAGCGTCTCGACAATTAGCGGGCGCTTTGCCGCCGCGAAAGGCAAACGCGGCACCGGCTGCCATCAGAGACCGGCCTTACCGGCGGCATTTTGCCGGGCCGTTGCCGCGGAAGTCCTGCTGCCTGCCTGCCTCGTTTTGTCCCTTCTGCCTTCTTTCCCCGACCAGGTCGCAGAATCTCGACACTTTTCCAGCGGTCTTTTTGCGCCAGCGGAGTTTCGCGTATGGGCGACTTTCTCGCGCGATCGTTCGATTGATTTAGCTCGAGACGACGATGATAAACGACGAGGAACTAATAAACCGATGAAATACTGCGCTGCATTCGCGTCGACGATGCACGTCGCGTCGAGCAAATCGCGAGCAGCGGTCTACCTTCTGCTCTTCGCACGTGTGTACCATTTTTTAGATTGCGCTCTTTGTACGCTTGTCGGAACCGCTGGCCGCGCTGCGTAATGGACAGTTTATGCTCATGAGCGCAAATGGATTAAAGGTTGCGTCCTGTTCTTCCGTCCTAGCGCGATCTCGATTAACGCGGTGTGACCCTGTTTGCAAGTGGGTGCCGGGTGTTAACGAATGTCGACAACGTCGTGTAATCTCTCCGTCCTCCAGGAATACATCGCGACCTGCGCACCATTTTAATGCCAACGCGCGCGTTTGCGCGCGCCGCCCTTGCGCGCTCGTTTGAGCAAACGTTGATTAAATATAATCACCCCCGATGAAATATATATAATCATCAAGTATGCAGAAAAAGGGCGCAACACGCGCAAATTTATCGCGTGACGTCGCGTGGCGTCGTCGCAGGATTAAATGACGAAATATGACGGTCGTTCCGGACGGAAGAAGCAGCGTGGAGGCGCGCTTCTCCGGGCGGGCTCGCGAAATTTACGGCGAAAACGCGCCGTTAAATCTGCGCTATAAATGTTAATAAGGCCATCCGGCGAGCGACACACTTCACGAGGACTAAAATTCCACTTTAAGGCTGATGTCGGTCCTATCTACGGCTGTAGGCTCACTGGCTTCCTTCCAAAATTCTACTCCTGCCGGCCGCGTTATCTCGTTCCCGTTTCCTTTTCAAATGCTCACAACGCGAGGGACGCGTG